ATTGCATAATTGAAAGGATGTCGCCTGTTGTGCCATAAGCCATGAGTGTTATAAGCTCTTTAACAGTTGTGTTATGGTCCTTCTCCTTACTCGTCTCCCGTGCCCGGTGTCCATGCTGCATGTAATTGCCCACAGTGGCGTAAATAGTCATTATTGCTGTAACTGCAACTGTACGAAAGGATACGGCGCATTTAAGTTATTTACTGACATGTTGTCGTTCACACTTCGATGCAAGGATAACAGCTATCGCAGCCACTTGATATTCTTTTTGCGTGCTGTTTATGGAAGTGTCCTTCCACACGCACACACACACACATACACACACACACACACACATACACACACACACGCACACGCACGCACACACACGCACACACACACACACATACACACATAGAAGCGCTTACCTCTTTTATCGATACGAAATTCAATAAATCGTCGCAAGAAAACTCGAAATTCTCGTAAACATGATTTACCAATGTTGAATGTACAGAATGTTGTCCCTTATGGGGATATGTACAAGTAACAATTTTATCAGACTATGAAATTGCTATAGTCGAGAGCTCGACTGTGTTTCTTATCCGATCTTAATGAAATTATTACAGTTGATCAATAATATATCTGGAAGGCTATATATTTAGAATTGTGTTTTGTGTTGCTCTCAGAAATCGACTTGTTATCGATGAACATAAAAAAATACCGATAACTTATATTCCAAATTTATTCCTAGCTCTTAAGGCAGAACTTCGCTTAAGTCTTATCACATAAACTGAAGCGGAACACAATGCACAACAATAACGATAACAATAACAATAGCAATAACAACAGCACAAGCTCAAACTCAAACTGTTGCAAAATCAATTTTAAGGCAGCAACAACAAAAACAACAATTGCGCGACAACAGCAACATCTAGTGGCAGGTGTTGGCGCAACAACAATGTCACGGCCGCTAAATTCGTAAGTGTCAAACGTACTCATAAAATATGAAGCAAAATGAGCTGAGGAAACCTAAATGGTCCATTGCTTATACATACAATGCACTCAGAAAAAAACGTATAATATTTTTGTGAGTTTAGATGTTCAAACGAAAGTTTAAATGATCGATTCCCAAAAAGAAAAGCCAGTCTAAAAAAGGAAAGCAATCAAATTATGTTTGCATTAGCTGAGCCTTTTAGGAATGAACCCTATAAGCAATCATTTGGCTTAATCCTAAAAGGCCCAGCTGATATAAATATAATTCTATTGTTAAATGTAAATGTAAAATACATGAAATGTGCTTTTGTTTCATAGCTTTATGTTTTATATGTCTTTGCAATCAATTGAATGATTGAATTTTTGTTTAGCAACATTTTATTTTATTTTGCTACGTTTGATTCACAATCATTGCAGCAGAACAACTTTCAAAAATATTGTTTACAACATTTTTTTTATTCAGAACAATCTGTTAATTAATAAAAAAAAATGCAAATGTCAACAACCCAATTAAAATGGCAATTAACAATAACAACAACAGCACCAACAACAACATGAATTTCTAAAGAGGAAGAATAGACCTCTTTCAGCCATGAAAACCTTTTTCTACACTTTTGTCTGTGTGCAAATGTTTGTAATGTTTTGTGATTCGAGTAACGTGCTTGGGGATTTGCTCTCCGATGCACTTGGGTAATCAGTTTTGATTGCAGGCAATCGCATTATCAATGCATTCGAGCATTCGTAAATAAGAATATTGCCACATATAGTATGAACTCCCATGATCTCAATTGCAATAACAAGATTTGCACTTGATTGCGTCCATGCAACGCCTGATCACTTCATCATACTATTTGAATGACATACATATATATACAGACGTACGTAAATATATATTTATTTCATAAAAAGCCAATTGCAGCATTTTTATGCTCGCTCTGCTTTGGCTCTTACACAGAGCCATAAATTTATATTTATCATACGCCGTCTTACACCCTCATTTTTAAAGGACATCAATTCTCATATACATATACATGCATATACATGTGTGTGTGTTTGTGTGAGCTAGTGCCTAGTTGCGTAGTTTTTAACATTGCAAAGTATATGGGATGCGAGGCACCAAAAAATAAACATTAAAATCAATGGTAAAAATATATATAAAAAAGAAACTCGCTAAGATCAAGACTTTCCACTGACTTACACTTATTGTGCTTAAAATATAACTTTAGCGATAGGAAGGAAACTTTTTGTGTCCAGAGAGTGTTCGACAAGTTATTGAAGATTTGAAATTTTGGGTTTAGGTAATTTAAATAGCCATAATGTTACATTAACTAACTTGACAACAACGATAGAATTCCATGTTAGCGACCCTGGAAGCAAAATAGTATAATGTATTTTCCTTAAAAATCGACGTATTTCATTTAACATCAACACCAAAGAAAATCATACACAAGCGATTTACATATATAATAACAGTTAAAAAATGAAACACATTACAATGGCATATTAAAAAAAAATGGATTAATTAATTGTATTATGCAAAAATAAAGCTTTGTCATATCTATAATTATTAAAGTCTGTGTCTCCTTGGAGCTGTTTTGCTTCGACTAATAATTTAGCTATATTTCCAATTTTATCAAACATGATTTTGCCAAGGTTCAAGGAGCTTATTTCTCTAGTGTTAAGGCCCCTAGCTGAGGGCCATTCTAGAATCTAGTCGATTTCTACACTGATTTTCACAGTTTTTAAATTGCGGGCACTTTTAATTATCTGAAGATAGTATTTGCTCATATGCAAATATTGAGTATTTAGCTTAAGCAAGTTTTTGTTTGCAATGTCTGGCTCCATTAGAAGCTTCTTTTTTAAATTGAGATAGCCGGGTTTATTTATCTCCCGGAATACCGATTCTATTGATTTCCCCTTCTTTATTCAACGCCTCTACATGGTAGAGTCAAACTTGTGGGCTAGCTGGAGACTCGTTGTCTGGCTGTTAGCCATGGAGAGTTAGTTAGTTGTTTTGAAATGGTTTTTACAAGGTCGCACAGACCAAAAGCTTTTAACTCTACATATTTTTAAATAATTAGACATAGGTATATTTATTTAATTATTGCCAAAGTGCGACGAATTCTATAATAAACCACAGCGATTTATGGCATTGCATTTTCTGTGTATTTTTAGAATTATAAATATTTTTTTCATTCCTTTTTTAATTGATGCGCCGTCTGCAGCAAATTAAGCAAACACAACTACGTCAACGACAACGACAACAGCATCAGCAAAATTAAATCGTCAGATTAGCGACAATTTATTTGCATTAAGTTTTGGCTATTTATAGAAGAATAGCAATAGCCAGACTTTATAATATAATAACTTTATTGGGGTTTTCGGGTTATTTTTGAGATTTCTTAATGAAATTCTGTTTTTCACTTGGCTCGATTTGTATGTGTAATGTAAATATTTGCAAAATAATAATTATATAGTTTTTGTGTGCTCACAAATATTTTAAATTCTTGTTCGTCCCTCTGTTTGGCTGTCTGTCCTCTCCGATTTATGCATTTTTTTCGAAATTGGGTTAAACAACAAGCAAGTCCCAAAAAAACAGCAGGAGTCTGCCGCAAGGATGGAACTTTTCGCTTATTTGGCAAATTTTCAAGTGAGGCGAATTGCAAAAAGCTTCAACAAAATAAATAAACCCACACACAACGAACAACAATAACAACCACCAAATTTAGCGAAAAAGTAAAAAAAAAAGAGCAGACTCAAACTGAAATAAAAAATATTTACTTTTGAAAGCTTATTGAATAACTACTTGAGAGCTTTTGTTCAATGCAAAGTTTTTGGCATCAGCTGAAGGTGAAATAAAATGCAATTAAGATAATATCTATATTTTGCGCTCTTTTTCAATAGTTACAGCTAATATGTAGTAGTTGAGCTTTGCATAATGTTTTCGTTCATTGTTGCCATGAACTGCATAAAGGGCAAACAATACAACTTTAATCTTTTGACAATAGTTTTTGTTTTCTGCTGCTCTGCTAATCGGCTAACTAATTTTGAAAACATCTCAATTTGGCTTGAAAGCTTTTGCAAGTTGCCTTATGAAATGCACATGCCCCCTTTTCTATCCCTTTTTGATATCAACTCAAAAAGAATGCGAAAACTAAGAGAGTCCTTCGCACCTCCTCATCCGCCCCCACAAACGCAACGCTGCTGCTGCTTCTAATGAGTTTTGCCGCAATGGGGGCTTGTCGCTGGTGGGCGTGTCCTTGCCACAGCAAAGTTGTCAGTGACCAAACGAACGGGAGAGCGTGTCGTCCCCCAGAAAAACTTTTCCTTGCACTAATTGTTGGCCGCAAAAAGGGCCAGCAATGAGGACACCGGGCACCGCATCGAATCCTATCTTTGAAGCATTGCACACAAGTTGAAAATCATTTTACAGCAATTGATTTGGCATGCTGTTTTAGCGCTAATGCCACATACCACGTATATGGCATTAGCATTATATATATATATATATATATATATATATACATATATATATATATATTTTTTTATTTTTATTTAATTTTATTGATTCCACGACATTGGCGCACTGCAACTGCGACTTGATAAACTTTTGACCTAGCGACAGCGGAGGTCAACCGTAACCAAGTTAATGATTGAGAAGCGAATTGTAATTTCGTGACAACCCGATTTGAATTGCTCTCGACCAGCGTCAGTCATCAGTAAATGCCAGCTTTACGAAATATGCATAATAATATTTACAAATATTTAACTCATTAATTAAAGACTTTGTCTTTGTTTAGGCAATAACAAGAAAGTAAAGGACTACCATCTTAACAGAAATGAAATCATTGTATATTAAGGATAGTTCTTAAGAGTTAAATACATATAGTTATATATATACATATATGACAGCATATATATCAATTTCGATTGCATGCTTAGCTGTATATTTATATATATATAATAATACAGTTTTTTCGTTATAATCGAATGCTTATTAATGCCAATCACAATTTTATTAATTACAGAGTTTTTGTGAACCGGTCGCTGCACTTGGAGAATATCAAGTACTATGGTTTCGATATGGATTATACACTCGCAGGTGAGTCATTACAATAGTTACCACTCATTTTCATACTTTGTATCTTGCTTCATTTAGAATACAAATCACCGCAATATGAGCAGCTGGGCTTCAATTTGGTGAAGGAGCGCCTAGTCTCAATGGGCTATCCGAAGGAGATATTGCAGTTCGAGTATGATCCAACATTTCCAGTGCGTGGCCTGTGGTTCGATACGCTCTACGGAAATCTGCTCAAAGTTGATGCCTATGGCAATATACTGGTCTGTGTGCATGGCTTTGAGTTCATCAAACAGTAAGTGTTACCGTACTACAACAACTTCTACATGGTATTAATTGAAGCCCCTCTACAGTCATCAGGTCTACGAGCTGTATCCCAATAAGTTTCTCAAACTGGACGAGTCCAGGGTTTATGTACTGAACACTCTATTCAATTTGCCGGAAACATATTTGCTGGCCTGTCTAACCGATTTCTTTACAAACAGCGATGAATTTGTTCGGTGAGTTCGGAATTCTTCAAAATATGTTGAACAAATGTGGGCATAGCCAAAGTTTCATATAGCCAAAACTATAATTCTGTTCTTTGCCAATGACTCTATTTCCATCTACTTTGTACTATTTATATTTGTATTTTTATCTCCCTCGCGCTCTCTCTCTCTCTCTCTCTTTCTCTCACTCTGTCTCTCTCTCTCTCTCTCTCTCTCTCTCTCGCTCTCGTTCTTTATGTACTCTCTGTCTGTATATAATTGTAAACTCAACAGCGTTGAACGCGGCATCAAAGCTGGTGATTTTTTATTTACCTATAAGTCGATTTTCCAAGACGTGCGACGCGCCGTCGACTGGGTGCATTCCGATGGCGATTTGAAGCGTCGTACCACACAGGTAAGTGACAACATCCAATTAACCTCCTTGATTAGCTCTATGAACTTCAGGTCAAGTCAATACTACCTACGTTTATTAATTTTACTCTGTCACCAAGACATGTATCAATCATAAATGTATTTTCCGGATAGGCACAACATGAGTCATTAAAACTTTCTTCATCATAGATACTTTTCTTTGCTATCGGTTGACACATGTCACACACTTTGTATGGGAACGTTTTACGACAATTAAGATTTGTTGTGCGAAATCTTTTTGGTTACTCACTCAACGTGAACATTTTAGAAAAGCGGATTAGAGAAGAAATTGAACAGTTTGTTTCTTAACTACTTTGAAATGAGGAGTATAATATAATATTCCTCTTCGCTCTCACTTTAATCTTTCTCTATTTACAACATACATATTTATTAGCCATAAAAGATGATTTTTTTTTTTTAATATAAAAACTATACCTTTGACACTTGTACATATTTATACTTAGCTAAAACATTTCATGTGTCATCCTGCAGAACATGGCGTACTATGTGAAGAAGGACAAGCGGCTGCCAACTGTCCTGTCGCGCATACGTGAATCCGGAGCCAAGCTATTCATGCTGACCAACAGCGATTACACCTACACCAATGAGATCATGACGTATTTGTTTGACTTTCCACACGGCGCGACTGACGATGAGTCACATCGCGACTGGAAGAGCTATTTCGATGTGATTGTGGTGGATGCGAGGAAGCCGCTGTTCTTCGATGAGGGCACCGTGCTGCGTCAGGTGGATACGAAGACGGGTGGCTTGAAGATTGGCACGCACATCGGTCCGTTGCAGCCGGGTCAGGTGTATTCGGGTGGATCGTGCGAGCTATTCACCAAGTTCATCAATGCCAAGGGCAAGGATGTGCTCTATGTGGGCGATCACATCTTTGGCGATATACTCAAGTCGAAGAAGATACGCGGATGGCGCACGTTCCTCATTGTGCCGGAGCTGGTCCGTGAGCTGCACGTGTGGACGGACGAATGCCAACTGTTCGCGGAGCTACAGAATCTCGACATTAAGCTGGGCGATCTGTATCGTGATCTGGACTCCAGTGCCAAGGTCAAGCCGGATATATCGCAGCTGCGAACCTGTATACGTGACGTTACACACAAGATGGACATGTCCTATGGCATGATGGGCTCCCTATTCCGATCGGGTTCACGCCAGACCTTCTTCTCCAGCCAGGTGGTGCGATATGCCGACGTCTACGCCGCAACGCTGCTCAATCTCATCTATTACCCGTTCTCCTATATGTTCCGCGCTCCGGCCATGTTGCTGCCACACGAGTCAACGGTCGCCCACGATCAGGCCCATCAGCCGCCGGCGCCGCCCTCTAGCTCAAGCTCATCGTCAGCGGCTATTGAGGATGCCAGTAGTACCAGCAGCATCATAAGCGCCTCCAAGCTCAGTTCTGCACTGCGCAACGACGATGCTGTGTCCATCAGCAACAGTAGCAATGCAGCAGTCAATGCCGCCAAGGATGCCAAGGATACCAAGGATGCTAAGGATGCCAAGGATTCCAAGGAAGCCAAGGACGCCAAAGATGGCAAGGACTGCAAGGACTTGCATCGCGCTGTGAGTTATAATTTTAAATAGATATATGAGCATTTCCAGAAGCCACGCACTTATCAGTCGTACGTCATAAAAATTGACAAAATCAAAGAAAAGTCAACTTATTATTTTTTTTTTGTGCTTGATTTTGTTCAATACTTTCGTTTTTAATTAAAATACTGAGAGTTTATTCTTAAATACGGATCCGTGACGTAATAGCCAAATTGCAACTTGTGTAAATATGATATGGCATAATGTTATTTTCAAGTTTGTTATAGTATTTAAATATTACCAAGTCTATTGATCAAATTAATTTTGCAATTTGTATAACCTGAACGTAAAAACATGCAAAAATGCCTTAGAACAATATATTTAACAGCTGATCTGATCAGGATTTCTCGTAGCGAGCTCTAGGGACTTACTTGTTATTTATTTTCATACTGACAATTTAGTTCATCTTTTAACCTAGTGTTTACATTTATTTTTTTCTTTGGTCACGTTTCTGTTTAAATTCCTAAATATGTATGTATGAATTTGAAGAAATCATTTATTTAAACTGAACTCTATTTACAGAGCTCTATTGTGCACACGCGCCCATCTACGCCCACTGTGGTGACTCACACCCACGATGAGGACTACTCGGAGGAGGAGGAGACGGCCAGCGGCGCTGAGTCGCCATTGGAGCAACTACAACGCGAAGCCTCCGACTAATTGTGTCAGTGTCTGTCCACCATAACCTCCCCCAACCCCCTCTTTGCGGAGATCAACGAATTTGCAATCCAGTTTCTTTCGTCAATTTAGCAGTTCTACTCCGTATACCTAAACGAATGTTGCAGGCTTCCTTGTTCTACAGGTGCAACTAGTGAGAAACATGCGATTTTTTTTCTTTCGATTTTACATATACAGTTATAAAGTCTATACAATAAAAATATATGTACACATATATACACACTAGCTGGTTGATTCCAAATGCCCGAAATATATAAATGCATTTTGTAACAACAAAATGAATCAAATATGCTTTTTACTATTTTTTTTTTGCGTACTGAGCTGACTTACTTACAGTCCGTCACTTGCTTTGCGAACGAATCGATTTCATACTCTATATTTGTGGGAGTGAAACATTATATTAATATTCTGGCTGCAGTTGCCAACTTTTATTTATCACAGTTGGACTGAAATCTCTGTGATCTGTAAAATGTAACATCTTTTATTGACTTTTTTGACATAGCAATAGTAATTGGTAACTGGTCGCTGAGAATGGTGACTGTTCGTGTTGAGATTTTGATACGAAACCGTTAATATAAGTACAGACCATTTGTTAATATTATCAGTCAGTATTGGTTGTGTTGGTGGTAGTGGGAATTCATGGATCATGACTCGAGCGACTCAAAGAGCTTTTCAAGCAGGTCTCTCAGTTCGATAGCAAACGACAACTTTTCAAATGCATCAGTTTGTTTATCCGCTAGATGATCTGACAGCATGATTAATTGCTTATGTAGTTTTGTGCCTCGCAACATTGCCCTGCATTTGGCACTGAAACCGAACAGCTTCCACAGGCAAAGCACCACCAGATGGTGCTCCACATAGGGATCGATGTTTGTATCACGTTCACCAAGACCATCCTGTACTGGCTGTGACACAATGTCCCGCAATAGATCCACGAATTCGGTCAAGGCGACCAACTGCATCCTGTTGCCATTGGAGAAGCACATATTGCGCAGAATGCGGAGGCAGCGCAGCCGCAGGATGCAAAGTGGAGGATTGCGACGAACGGCACTGAGCAGTGAGTCAAAATGACAGATCTTAGAGCCCTGCTCATATCGGGAGAAAATTTCCCAAAATGCCAGCCAGCTAAGCCGCACCTCCGGCTTCACTTTGGTCGCTTTGGTGCATCGGCCGCTTGCCGGCAGTACCGTATCAAACATGTCCAGGACACGCATCTTGCTCAGACCCAGGCGACCCTCGATGCAGGAGCAACAATTGATCATCACTCGTAATGCGGCGTCAATAATTGAGTCCGCATGAGAATTGTCGGCGGTTGGCTCCTTTTTGGACGTCTCGTGTTCAGCGAGGCGCACCATTAGTTGGAGCAGCGAATGGGAGTGGTTGGAAAGCAGCAATGATGTCTGCTTGCACATTTCGAGGGAGTGTTCGGTGAGCAGCATCGATAGGCGCACGGTCATGTGTTTCAGCATCATTGAATGCGAAATCCAGGGCCACAAGCGTAGCAGGACACGCACAAAACGAATGGCCATTTGGGGATCCGTGATGACGGCATGCGACGCACTGTGCCAGTTCATCAGCATGTTGAGCTGCACGAGAAGATTGTTGATAATATCGCGCGTCTTGTGTGCACCCACCCGCCTCACATAGACGGTGGCACTGCCCACAGTGGCATCATCAAGGAAAGTCTCGATCAGGTGGAGAACGCGTTGCATCAGCTCGCAGCTAGTTGCCATGTCCGTCACTTGAGACGACAGCTTCAGCAGATTGCCGAGCACTTCACAGACCTGCACATGACTCTTTGTTGGTGGATGCAAAAAGCTGTATTTGCCGTTCGGATAGTGCAGCTCAAACAGCCGATCCAATCGATGATAGAGTTGAGAAGTTCCGGTTCTTCTTGCATAGCGTTCCATTGCTTGTTTCGGATTATTTGGCGTTTTTGATTTAGGTTTTTTTTGCTTCGCCACAGTTTTCAAACTTAGTATTTGCAGTTGTTTATTCAAGGTGTTCTCCCTATCGCTGTCCGTGTTTGTGTCCGTGTCCATGACCGTCTCCCCGTCATCTTCGTGCTCATCACTAGTGTCGTTCACATATTCTTCAAATATGACTAGTACATTGAGTTCATCTCTGGAATTAAGCACCTTAGCCAGCAGCAACGATAGTGTTGCCAGTGTATATTGCTGCACAGTTCCGTGGACAAAGTCCAAACTTAGGCCATACATGATCAGATCACAAAGCATATTGGGTTGCGAGCGAAATTTCAAACAGAGATACTTATAGGCATCCTCATCCTTGAAGAAGACCATTAGCAGCTTAAGGAGTTCAATGAGATGATTTTGCGGCACAGGTAACTGCTGATCGAGCACAATGTCCATCAGCGAATAGTAGCCATCGATCAGCAATGTGTCGCGACAGATGCTCCGCTGTATGAACTGAACGTTGTGCTGATAGCACAGTGAGTAGAGCCGACAAATATTGCCAGCGCACAGATTCATATAAGCTAAATGTTTTGTCATCTCGGTCTTTGGCATTTTCATAACATCGCTGAGGGCATTGATAAAGGCGGACTGGACGTGAGTAGCACACGAGATTGGGTTCAGGACGATTAGACGGACGCAGATACTCACATAGCAACCAATAATCTCGCAGGAGTGTTTTGCGCTAGACCTGTCGCCGTCTGGTCTTATACTCGAGGCCACATGCAGTGCGCCGAGTGCCAAGTGTGCCTCTTTGTGGAACGAGTGACGCTGCAACAGGAGGTTGCAGGCCTCGATGCCAGTGTGTGGCATCAGCAGCTCGAAGAGACGTCCGGCCAGCTCACGCACCAGCATCAGCTCATTAGCATTCAGTAACGTGACGAGGCAACATTCGGCCAGGCCACTGGGTAGAAAATCATTAAAGTCCAGCAGGACGCTTGGCAATTTGTCACCGCTGCTCGTGCACCAATTGGCCACCGCCACCCAGGCCACAGTGCGCACCTCTCCATCACCATGACCGCAAAGACCCATCAGGTAGCGCAGCACCTTCAATCCAGAGCCAGACTTCAAACTGTCCGCAGGCCTGAACTTGCTGTTCGCCTGCAGCTGACAGATGATCAGCAGACAGTCCCTTTGCCACTGGGCTCCAGTCTGGGTGTTTGTTCTCAGACTGCTCGACAGCTGCACGAACTGCTGATAATAAGACTATACGCAGATAGAGAATGAGAAAGAAAAAGAAAGAGAGAGAGAGCGAGAGAGATAAAGAGAAAATTAGAACAGCCAAATTATAAATACTATTTGAAATAAATGTAAACATTTTAGCTTTACAGTTGTATTCTCCGTTCCCCGCGAGTCTGCATACTAAATTTAAATCGTCGTAGATATTCAAGCTCGCCAAAAAGTTTTTATCAATATTATCAAGCAGTGAATCAAGCAAAATGAATCAATTATACAATTAATTATATTTTCGAAATCAGCTCTTGTAGTCTCCGAGATTGGCGCGTTCATACAAACGGACGGACACGCAGATGGACGTGGGCGATGAATAATATAAATATACTGTTAGGCTCGGAGATGCTTCCTTTTGCCTGTTACACAACGCTGTAAAATAATTTTAGATCATTTCTTTCTTTTTTCTTTAATAAGTTACATTTTCTGACCTGTAGCTTGGCGTCATCAAGATTCAATGGCTGATTGCTCAGCTGCCGCAGGACCCTTAGAAGACAACGGACATGTTGGAGATTACGCAGCTGGAAATTGGTGCGAGTCAAAATGCTCAGCTCCATGAAGAGTTTGTTGTGCCAGGAGATGTTGTTGGTCTGGTTGTGTTGTGGCGACGATATGAGCAACACCAGACACTCGGTGACCAGGTGCAGCAGATGCAGAGACACATTGCTATCGTGCAGTATCAAAACGAAACTGTGATCCGGATCATTTCTGAGTGCCTCGCACAATCCGTGCAACACAGGTGTCAATCGATGGCGCAAACAGCTGCGGCAGAGCTCCAATAATTCGGTATACAACTTGCGATCCGCATCGTTGCTGGGCATTAGGCGCAAATACTTGTGCAGCATCATCCACAGTCGTTTGCATTGAACGGACTCCACATCGACGCGCTTGAAGACCAGAAACATCTGAATGCTGGCCACCAGCTGTTGCAGCATCTCGTGGCTGCTGCAATTGCTCGCCTCGGCCAGTTGATATTGCAACTGCCGATGCACTTGGGTGGCATGAACCAATGCCACCTCTGATGCTCGCACCTTCAGCGACTCCCTAATGTCCAGTTCATGGATGGTGGACATCGTCAGATCCCCCGCACTGCCACAGACACAGTGCGCCAGAAGGAGTCGCCAATATTGGGCATCAAGTGCCGCACTGCCCGCAAAGTGTGTGGCACGCAAATGCTCCTGCATGGCCAGTCCACGCATGGCGAATGTGGGCGAGACACTGTTACTCAGCACGTAGGTGACCGGCAGCGACATTGCGGATAGATCCACGTCCACGTGGAGGCTGCCCTCCTCCACAGTGATGTGCTCGTCAAAGAGCAGCAGAAATATGCAGGTGCTCGCCTCGGCGCACAGCTGTTGCGAGTGGGGCAGCAGGAAAATACATCGCATCAAACAGACCAGCAGCTCGACATTGTCGCTGAACTCGCGCCGGAAACGTTCGCTGCAACAGAGCACACGGAGCAGAATGCCCACGGCCGGCTGCAGTGTGTCCGCATCATCAGCAGCAGCACACAAAATGAGATCATGTATCACCCTCAAGCAGAGCACATAGGCGCCATCGCAGCTCGCGTAGGTATGGGCAGCCAACCAGCTGTGCATCAGGATATTCAATTGAACGAGCGTCGATTTGCGTATGGCTGGCTTCAGATCGGGCGTACCCAGCAGACGCAGCAGCGCCGGCATAGTCTTTGTGGCTGGTGCACTCCGGCGATCGCAGAATATGCTGGCGTACTCAATTGGTGGGTTAATCACGCACAGATTATGTCCGAGCAGGTCCAGGGACAGCTTATGCATAGCTGGTCGATATTTGAGCTGATGGTCCTGTGTGATGAGGATGTAGGCCACACGCGCCATGGCATCCTTACGCATTTCGGCATCCGGATGAAATAGATAACAGATGTTGCCGCGCAACGCTTGCGGCGTCTCCACATATTGGCCATCCGGCTCGAACAACTGCCAGAGCAGTAGCTGCAGTTGCGGCTGATTGATGGCCCGACAGACGAGCAGCGGCACCACTGGCATCACCATCTTGAAGATGATGGCAAACTCGCACGCTGGAATCAGTTTGGCCAAACCCAGCAGCATAATTAGATAGTCAACGCACCACTGTTGCAACGCCTGTGGCGGAAACGATTGCAATGGACGCCAGCCCGCCACGAGCAGCTTTCGCAACAGTCCGGTACCTATTGGTAGACCCAGAATGTGCTGGCGGGCCAGTTGCAAGTTGCTGCATCCGGGAAAATAGTTCGTTTTGTTCATGAACGCATGAAAGTGCTCGACAACGGGCTGTTTTAGCAGACGCAACGCGTAGTTGCGCAAATCCTTGTCGGGCAAATCGAAAACGGTGAGAAGCAGCGTTTCCGCCTGATTGCGCAGCTCTGGCTTGCTCATATATAAACTTGTGCACTTGACAATTGCATCGCAGAGCTGTTGCAGCAGGCACTCACTGCCCAGTTGCACAAGAACGTAACTTATCTCACACTGTTTCGCCAACAGCTCCAACGGTGGCAGTCTTCTTTCGGCTAGTAGCTGACCCACAGCCAATTCATATGCGGCCTTCAGCAGAGCCATTTGCTTTTGCTCCAATGTATTCTCTTCAATGATCCGGCCGTATAGCTGGGACAAATCATGCCGGCGCTGCGGCTCACACCACAAATAGCTGCTGTCCAGGATCAACGGTTGCAACAGCGTAAGACCAGTTGCACGATCGATGGTAGATGCATTCTGCATTATCACATCCAGCAGCAATCCATTAAATATCAGAGATCCCAATCGTGGCATCATTAGTACTTTGGCCATGTGGCGCGTCTCGGTGACATTGGACAGATCGATGCTGTTGCAGTAGCTTATCAATTCAGGCACCATTGCCCCCAGTCGCTGCACATGATGCCCGGGCATGGGCGCGCCTAGCTGAGCAAACGTTTTGATCACCTGAACAATCAGTTCGATCAGTTGCCAATTGTGAGCACAGTGCTCCAGCTCAGGCCGCTTTACCTGGTCCAAGCAGCCAGTTAGCAGCAGACCCAAAGCGCTGGGAATACGCAATTGTAGATTCGCCTCTAAATCCGATTCAATACATTTCGCATAATGAATTGTCCTGGTGCGCTTGCCAATGCGATACTGCATCAGCTTAACGATCGTAAGCAGAGCACGATTAATGTGGAACAGTGTTTCGGATGATTGCTGCAACTTTTGCATGTGCAGCAAGTGTAGGTACATGTTCGGCGTCTGCAGCAGATACTCAACGGGATAGTCGCATACTTTGATTTGTATATTGATCAATTTCTGCTGCAACTGCTGATCGTTTTCCACTGTTAGTCCATCCACAATTGTGGTCATTGTGGCTAAGTCGTTTAGGCTGGCGCGCGACCAAGCTGTTTCATAGTCTTCACCGTGCAGGTGGAAGCTATCGACAGAAAATGCCATTTCGCTTATGCTGCTCTGTGATTCACCTGCAAAAATAGTAATAGAGTTGAAAATATTTTTCTTATCAGAGCAAGAGAACAACTTATTTTGATTTTTGCTTTACCTGAACTATTGTACATAATATCAAGCAGACTCTCTATTTTGTCCAGCAGTTTAAGGCAACGTTCTGTCGACAGACCACGCAATATTTGTCGTATTTTTCCCAACTCTGTTTGGAATCGGCGGCAAGGAATCTTGCGTATAATCACATCGCCGTAGTCGGAGCGCATCAGCTCGAGCAACAAAGCCAGGACGCGATCGGGGGCTGTTGGTGGTGTGAAGCCAAACCAGCGGATCAGCTGCTTTACCAGCACCACCGGCTTAAAGTTGATTGCCTCTTCGTGATGCAAGCAGCGCATGAGACTTGTTTCAACATGTTCGAATGCGCGCATGCGAATTTCCAGCGATTCATTTGTCAAGTCAATGAATATGGCTTGAGGGAGGGCGTCCTTCTCTTTCGTCGATGTTGACATTTTGCGACTCTTTTTATCTGTTAAGATTTCAGACTTTTAGTATGGTGCAAACAGTTTTCTGCACTTACTTGTTCTAGTCTCTTTATTTCACATCAATCAAAACATCTTTTGCAATTTCCAAACGCATTTTAAAAGCGTCGCCAACTTTTCCGCCTATAATGAAGCCATCAATTTTTTTTTTGCCGCCGTTGTCTTAAATAGCTCTGTTACTTTACATAGCCAGCATTTTTGCGCCTTACTCATTATTGCGTTAATGTTGCGCGCACTTACTGCAACGGTGTTGAGGTAACACAATTAGCAACTGGTAACATTTTTCCTGTCTGGCAGCACTTGGCGGGAATTTAAATCATTGAAGCAATGAACTGTAATAATGAAACACATTCTACAATCTTTCATTGTAATTGCTTAAAATGTATAATCACAAGAAACAGTTTAAAAAAAATAAATAAATATGTTGCGTCGAGTTTGTCAGCTTCAGCATATTACCACAAATCAATTGCTCAGCGTGCTCAATTGGAGGCGACAAATACAGCACAGCTAAATCATATTTTTGTTCTCATATTTATTCAAAAGAAAGAAAAATAAAAAAAATGTAGTTGCATATTTAGAGTTAAAAATGGGCTGCAGATACACAAATGTGTGAAGCCTTGGTTATATTGATTAAAGCTTGGCAATCTTGTTGCCATCGCACTGAAGGTCGTTATAGATGTGCTCGTTCTGTAAATGGTTCATCACCTCAGTGACCAGCACGCTCGCATTGTCCTGCAAGAGGCAGAGAGAGATAGAGAGAAGATTATATGAAGACTTCAATGCGATTCAATTGGAATGGGTTGGGAACACTTACATCAAAGAGCACATTCTGCTCTCCCTTTTGGTACTCGCCAAAGAGCGCAAAGACATCGACGAATTTGCCGTGGGCGCCAAATCTGTCGGAGATCAGAGCGGACAGATGCTTGATAGTCTCCTGCTCTACGGGCGTAGTGTCTGCGCGCGCAAAGATCGCGCGTGGCAGCTGCACCTCAACATTGCAGTCGGTATAGTCGGTGACGGGACGACGCTCCAGAGTGGGGCAGACGAGCTGCCAGTCCTTGTGCTGCTCCAACTGCTTGACAGGCACAATCAGCACCTCCTGCTCCGTGCTCGGTGAAACGTTGCACCATTCCAGGCCGCGACGCTTGTTCAACAAGGCGGCGCTCAACCGAGCACGTTCACAGTTCCCATCATAGTGACTGGACAGCAAAGAGAGCGAGAGGGAGAGAGAAGCAGTCATATTAGAGAGAAATTCTTGAAAGGATTCTGACAGCGGTGTCTTACAGTGGCGCCTTTTGCAGTGCGTCGCGATTGAGGGTGGGTGGGGCAACGGCCACCAGCATTTCTTCGGTCTTCAGCTGCTCGAAGACCAACGGCAGCAGCTTCTGAGTCCGAGCTTCTGCATAGCTTGCCGCCGGAGCGATTAGCATATCGGCCTTGCTGTTAGCCAGGGCCTGAATGCAGTCGGTGGATTGGACGCATTCGATCTCAGGGCGCGCATCACGGGCGTAGGCGGCTTGATGGAGTGCCTGACACTTGGAGAACTCCGTATCCCGCTGGACGCAGAGGCGCAGCTTGCGTATGGCACTGCCATCGCGCTCAATCACATCCTTGTAGCCGGCACGCTCCAGATACACCTTGGGATCGATGGCCTCCGGCTTGCTGTGATAGGCGGCGTTCGGCTGGATGAGCAGATGGGCGGCGGCCTGCTTATTTTCGGCATGCAGTCCATTGTCAAAGAAACGCTCCAGGCGCGCCTGCAACTGATGCAGCTTCTCCGGGCCATGCACGGCCAGCTCATTGGAAATGTAGCCGCTCCAGGGGCGCTGAGCCCAGGAGCAGGCCGGTCCGGTGATTGGGCGACGGGTACCATCCTCGCACAGATACTCAAAGTCCTCGGCCTTACCTTCAGCGGCGGGCGCATCTGCGCTGCCGGTCAGACCGAAATATTTCTTTATGTATTGTACCTTAGAAAAGGCGACCTCGCCGCTTCCCTTGTCCAGGCAGCGTATGGCACCATCATAGCCACTGTATATGTCCGGATAGTTGCACTGCGCTGGCTTCTCGCACAGTGCGCACAAATTCGCGTACTTCTTCTTCAGCAGGCGATCCGTATCCGGATGCGCCGAATAGTTGCCCACCAGACACGATTGCGTAAAGAATTCGGACAGCGCCTTCAGCTCTCGCTCTGTGGCCGAGATCTGTGGATCGGCGGAAACTTTTAAAACGTGAGTGTTTTTCAACTTTGTGATCGGAATCCGGTAGCCGACATTCCGGCCAAAGCCCGTGTGACACGACTTGGCACCGCGCAGCTCTTGCAACGTGTGAATCGGTGAAGATTTCTTCACCAAAATAATGCCCTCATAGCGGAAGTCGGCTGCAAAATATAAAAAAATGTTCGCATGTTAAACAGAACTTTCACTTCATGTTCGGATACAAGACATACAACAGTAACCATTCTTGGGAATTCAATTTCAATTAATATCATCATGTAGCCATAAACTTGTTTGTCTTATTTTAATCCGCATATGTATATATACATATATAAGTGCTTGACTTCAAAATTCTGTACTGTATTGCATAGTATGGGGAAATTGCTAAGATTTTAAAGTCATTCAAAGCATCAATACATTTTTAAACGAAATTAAATAACAATTAAAAGTTTTTATTAATATTTGACAAATATTTGAGAATCGTATAGTATCTCACAGATGGCGCGGCTATGTGCCTTTGTGCTTTGCACAATTAAATCTGCCGATAGGGGGCTCTTTTACATGTTTGACATTAATTTAGATTTAATGTTGCTAATATATGCTAATTTGCATAAAATCGCTCTTCTGTGTTACCAAAAATTGACGCTGTGCTACAAATCTGTGTCGAAATTTAAATGGTCCACGGACGATTTTAGAGGCTGTTCAATTTTGGGAAATCAGACAGAAATTTGCTTCCAGATAAGATATTTGCCGTGCTCCCATTTGCGAAACTGCAAACATTTTCAATTTAGAAAACGGACGCTGATTTCAAAAGTAAATAGCAGCTTTAAATGCAAAACCAACAGAAGTATAGTTGAAAATATTCTTAGTATCCTCTGTAATATTTTACGATTATTTTGTAGTATTTATTTATGATGCGAACTAGCCAATGATTATGTTTAAATATATACATTTTCCGTTTTGGTTCGGGAAAAGTGAAGATGTCAATTAATTTAATGTAAGCAAAAATTCAAAATACTTTTAGCAAACACTTCGCAAGTGCCAAAAATGTAATTTGTATCTTTTTACACCTCAATTTAACGCGTTTCTGTTTTGAATGTAAACTTTTACGTAGCAAAGGAAGATGCGAAGCACCTTAAAACGAAAACAGCCATTTAAAGCGCGAGCGAAAAAGTTGTTTTCGGAAATAGGAACAGTGCAAAATATTTCCGGTTTTTATATAATTTCGAGCTTCTGAATTCGAATCAGTTGTATATTTATGTATATCAATATACATACCGGTTGAATATTTCTGGTAATTCGAATCTAATTGTAGCCGGTTTATATGTATCACTTCTACGAGCACTCACCATTCTTGTCGTCCTGGGTGCGTATCTCGGAAATGACACGATAATCCTCGTTCTTGCGATGATACGCCATGTACATGTCCTCTGGCTCGCTGGCAAGCACATCTGCCTTCCGCTGTTCGATCATCTCTAGGCAGTCGACACGATCCCGTCCCGACACGCACTCCATGCGTATGCCCGCCTCCGATGGATCGGCCAGAAGTTTCTGGCAATCGCTGAAATAGATTTGCGGCACACACAGCCGATCTGCCACAAAATTGGTGATTTTAAATTTATGTTGAACTCGAACTAGAAGTAGAACATTCTGCAACAGAATTTGCGCTTACAAATGGGCTCCTCGGCGGCTACATCGCTGCAGTGCAGCATCAGCAGTAGCGTTGCCACGGACAGAATCCAAGTTGTTGTCGCTGATCCCATTGTCGCTCTAGCTCAACTGTGGAGTTCAGCTTGCCGGCCGGCGCTTTTTATAGCCTAGCCTCTCCAAGCGTCTTTTTTCCATTTGCTTTTGCTCTATTTGCTATTATTTTTCGAATTTTTCTGTTTTTGTTTTGTTGTGTTCTGTTCTGATTTGTATTTTTTTTCTTTTCTTCAAATTGCCGCCCTCACCCTCTCTCTCTCTTTCTCTCTCGCTAATTTTGCCAATGTTTTGATTGCCGGTGATCATTCTATTAAGCGACAGCTGGAAAGAAAGAATGCTTTAGTCGAGAGAGCTCGACTTACGAGATACCCTAAGCCAAGATTACTATATTACTATTTACTATATGTTGAAAATTGTGACTTTGTTGAGATCGCAAATCGCCTTGTATCGATGAAAGAGAAACTTGTGAAGTTATCGAAATTAACTAAACTTTATCTGCGTATGGAATACGAAAACTTACATTCCAAATTTAACATCTGTAGATTTTCTAGTCACCAACATGAGCGAGCTCATAGAGATAAACAGACAGACAGACGAACGGTCAGAGAGACGGACATGGCTAGTACTACTCAGCGGTTAATGCTGATCTAGAATGTACTTTATAGGTTCGGATATGCTTCCTTCTGCCTATTACATACATTTGCACTTCATCATAACACCCTCTTTCAGTTCATGTTGAGGGCATAATAAACAAACGAACGATATACTTACCCATACGTGCACATACACACATGGACACATACATGAACGTATATAATTAACATCTCGAGCACTTTGCCAGATCGGGTTCTTCCCATCCAAGCTGGGGTCTGCGCTACACAACAGACGGCCGGTTCATGGGTTATGGACGGTCTTACACACGCACACACAAATATTAAATTTCATAGCTTAATCAATTAAATCAGAACTCATAAATAGTTTTAAACTATGTATTCACTTTGTATTCACTTTTTTATTACAATGTTAAGCCATGTACTTGCTTTGTATTCACTACGCATTGGCCATTTCCATTATTTTGACAGATAATAATGAAAAGATCCAATTACTTTGACAGATAATAAAGAAAAGTTCCAATGGATATTTCAAAAAAGTAAAAAGGATTGTAATAAAAAGTGAATACAAAGTAAATAGATAGTTTAAAACTATAATTTTCTGAATATCAATATATTAGTATTATAATATTATTATATTATTACATCCATATATTAATATATATGTGTGTAATTACAATAGTGTATATAGATGTATAAGCAATATGATTAATGCGTATATACCATTTCTGTATAGTGTATATTTATTGCTTCCTGTTATAAGAAACTATTAAAAAGAAAAACCAGTTTCCTTGTGAGTTTGCCTTCGAATCAAATGAATAATAATTAATAAATATAGTTATCTCTTTAAAAAAAAGAAGACAAGGAAAGACTTTCCATTAAAGTGTATTGTTCAGAAATAAAAATTGTAATTTTTACATTTTTCATTTATTTTTAAAGCATTTACCTAAAAGTTATCTAAAAATAATTAATTACAACCTTTAATACTTTCTTTCATTATTTGTAGAAAAATAGGTAATCGAAATTTCCTTTTGTTGTACAAATATTATTTTAAAAAAAAAATATATATGTACATAAATATATTTATATGGTCATACATATATTTATAGATTATATTTGAAACAGGTTATCGCAAAGCACTGTCGCTTAGGCCGCAGAACCTTTAGAATAATTCGTCGCTAGTGATTTGATTAATGCAACTTAAGCACTAATGCCCAACCCAGCGACAGCTCATCATATCGTAGGGGCCTAAGTACATATATATACATAGTGCCTACCGCCTTCTAGTCGACCTGTAGGAGGAGCAGACAAGAAGCGACAGTCAACTCAACTGTCATCATTATTTACCCTGTGTTTCTGCTTGTTGCTTTTTGCTTATTTCTTAGTCGAACAATTGAATTATTTGCATGTCAGAGCCGGTTTTTGTAGATCCCACAACGGGCAACCCCATCGAAGCCCCTTTCCGAATATAAATTTTTTGCGATCTATTTAAAATGCAAGTGAGCAGGCGATTCTAGTCGAAGTAACGCTGAGGTGTGTGTGTTGGTAGGTAGGGGGGTTGTAGGTTGCAAAACGAATTGTCAGCTTTGTGGACGGCAGACTGCTTATAAACGAAGCTTAATGACATTTGCTCGTAAACAAGATCAGAAAAGTTATTCTTATACACCTACTTAGAAAATCGCAACGAGAGAACTTAATTATGAATTTTTTATTTTGTATTTTATTGTTGTTATTGCAATTGTTGTCGGGCAGGGCACCGGGTTGAACCAATTAAATTTTGCTGCTTTATATATGTATGTATATTATACACTAACTCTGCTCTCAGTTTAGTAACTATTTAAATAGTCCTCTAATTGGGCCTTTAACTGGTTGCACATATAAACAGATAGATGCATATTACCATATATCTATGTGTATGTAAATATATGTTATACGTCAATGAGAGCAATTGAAGAACAAAAAAGTCGCTCCAGCGCGACGGGACTTTCCCAATGACGATCGGGTATTTTTTTAATAAGAATTTAACCTTAGCTCATCGCACAGGGGCATGCTGCGCAATCAATTTAAAGATCCCTTGATTATGGTGATTATGCATAGGCAGAACTATAATTATAAACAGGCAACTGCAGTCAGGCGAGAAGCTCAATTGAAAGCCTCAAATTTGATCTGGAAATTACTATTCCAAAAAGTAGCAAACAATTTAAAATGTTAATTTTTAAATTTAAATTTGAACCGCCAAACCTGATTTCTTCAAGTGGCAGCGCTGAAAGCGGACAGCACCATCTAGCGGATGTTATGTCAATTAAGCTGCCAAGGCAGTGGCGTTTTTTACATTCACGCTGGTGATACAGACAGCAGTGAGCTGGTCACACCGAGTTTCGATACTCGAGACAACTGACACGTCAAGTAAATTGCATGCAGTTTGGGAGGCAAACAGTGAAATAATTTAGCAACAAATTACACAATTATATTTACATTAAATTGAATTATTATTAATTTACTAATCGCGGACAGCGTTGCTGGTTTGTTAACAGCAAAGATGACACAAGTGCCGTGCTACACAATCATCAACTCGCCGGACCTCGAGGTCCCGAACGAAATGCAATTGAAGCAAGATCTCGAGAAGGGCGACACTAATGTGAAAATCGAGACGCTGAAGAAGGTTATCAAGCTGCTGCTGAATGGTGAACGCTATCCGGGCCTGATCATGACCATCATACGTTTTGTGCTGCCTGTGCAGAATCACACAATCAAGAAGCTGCTGCTCATCTTCTGGGAAATTGTTCCGAAGACCTCCGCCGATGGCAAGCTGCTTCAAGAGATGATACTTGTATGCGATGCTTATCGCAAGGTAAGTCCGCAAAACAAATCCCAATCCCCATTCCAATCCCAATCCCAATGACTCTGATTGCCGAGTGATTGGCATCATTCGATTTTATAGGATCTGCAACATCCAAATGAGTTTCTGCGCGGCTCCACGCTCCGTTTTCTGTGCAAGCTCAAGGAACCGGAGCTGTTGGAGCCCCTCATGCCAGCCATACGCGCCTGCCTGGATCATCGCCACTCGTATGTGCGCCGCAATGCGGTCCTCGCCATCTTTACCATATACAAGAACTTTGACTGGCTAGTGCCGGATGGGCCCGAGCTGATTGCGAGCTTCTTGGACACGCAGCAGGACATGTCGTGCAAGCGGAACGCCTTTCTCATGCTGCTCCATGCCGACCAGGAGCGTGCGCTCAATTATCTGGCCTCGTGCATCGACCAGGTGCAGAGCTTTGGCGACATTCTTCAGCTCGTCATCGTCGAGTTGATCTATAAGGTGTGTCACGCCAATCCCGCCGAGCGTTCGCGCTTCATACGCTGCATCTACAATCTGCTCAACTCGTCCTCGAATGCAGTGCGTTACGAATCCGCTGGTACGCTTATCACGCTCTCGTTGGCGCCGACGGCTATCAAGGCGGCCGCCGGCTGCTATATTGAGTTGATCGTCAAGGAGAGCGATAACAATGTCAAACTCATTGTGCTGGACCGTTTGATTGCGATGAAGGAGAACGAGAACATGGAGAAGGTTATGCAGGATCTGGTCATGGATGTGCTGCGCGTCCTTGCCGCCCCAGACATTGAGGTGCGTCGCAAGACACTTGCCCTGGCTATGGACTTGGTCTACTCGCGCAACATCAACGAAATGGTGCACGTGTTGCAAAAGGAGGTGGCCAAGACGCACAACGTAGAGCACGAAGATACGGGCAAGTATCGCCAATTGTTGGTGCGCACACTGCACACGTGCTCCATCAAATTCCCGGATGTGGCCAGCAATGTAATTCCCGTGCTGGTAGAGTTCCTATCCGATACGAACGAACTGGCTGCCGTCGATGTACTAATCTTTATACGCGAGGCAATTCAAAAGTTCCCAGCACTGCGCGAACTAATCATTAAGCATCTGATTGAGGCCTTTCCACAAATCAAGTCCTCGAAAATACATCGTGCCGCCGTCTGGATACTGGGCGAGTACGTGGAGAGCGATGTACAGATTCTCGTGGTGATTGCAGCCATACAGCAGACACTCGGCGAGATTCCCATGGTCGATGCCGAGCAGCACCGTCTTGCCGGCGATTCAACCGATGAGCAACAGCAGCAGCATCAGGGCACAACGTCTACCAGTGGCGAGGCAACGAATAGCACCGGCGCCACCACAACAACCACCACCAGCAGTAGCAGCTCCAACAAGGTCACCTCAGATGGCACCTACGCCACGCAGAGCGCCTACAGCCTGGCACCGTAAGTTCATAAAAAGAAAATACCACCTGCCTATTAGACACGCGAATTGGAGTTACTGAAGAAGACAAGTTGGAAACAAGTTTCATAATTTCGCGGAGTGGTTAAGATTAAGGTTATTTACCAATTCGATCGGCTTAGATTTACGTTTATAAGAATGTCCATTTGTCAATAAGTCGGAACGAGCAAAAGTATTTTGGTTTTGTGCAATGTTTCTCAAGCTGTCTGGCAATTTTTTTTGACACTCTTAGAGATAGAGACTTGAAACTTTAAAAATATGCTGGTCTGTGCCCGTGTGAGACAAAGTGTAGAAATTGAAGTGCTAGCTCCACTAGGAGACTAGGAAATCGATCAGATCGATAATTGCAAATCGATAAATCTAAAAACTAGGTTTGGTTTTTAGGTTCTTGGTGTTGTTCAACGATCGACATACGCCATGCCCTCCTCCGAAGCGCCCAAGCTACTCCGTCCCTAAAAATTTTATGTGGCTATATTTTTGCAGTTTTTGAATTATAGCCGTCAAAATTGGTAGGTGTAGGTGATCAGAAATTTTTAAGGCGACGCCCATACCTGCGCACATAATCGCCAAAGCCGATTTCTCGGATAGTGTAAATCGATAAATCTGCATATTCCCTACAATTTTAAAGACACAGTCACCAAACTTGGAAGGCAACTTACTGTAAACCTCCTTCAAAGATCAACATATACATTGTCAAACCACGCCCACATCCTCTGCTCCCAGGAACTTCGGCCCTAGAAATCTGAAATGGGCATGTCTTCCACAATTTGTAAGCTAAAGGAACCAAATTTAGAAAGTATCTTGCTGGCAACTCTCCTAAGAGATTGATGAAAAATTGGATGGCCACGCCCACTCCGCCTTCCTAAACCGATACACCTGTTAGTGTCAATCGATAAAACCATATATATCACACAATTTGAAAGCTAGTGATCAAATTTTAAAGGTATATTGATAGTAGCATCCTTAAAAAATGTTGGACCACACCCACTCCCGCTCCTAAAAATGAAAAAAAAAAATTTAAGAATTATAGTTAGAAGGTAGATTACTAAGATCGTCCTCCAACATTTGTTTTTTTTGGTTACGCTCACTCCGGCTCCAAATTTTCAAAAGCCCATATCTCCCGCAATTTATGATTTACACTTGCCAAACTTGGAAGGAAGATTACTAGACCCCTTCTGTAATAATTTTTTTAGCCACTCCAAACAAAACACTGAAGTGATGTGATAAACGAATGTATGTATGTATTATAAATATTGAATTCTCCAAATTTCTCGTTCGTTCGCAGCGTTGCCAAGAAGGAGAAGCGTCCACCGCTGCGTCAGTATTTGATGGATGGGGATTTCTTTATTGGTGCCGCTCTTTCCGCAACGTTGACGAAGTTGGCGCTGCGCTATGTAGAGCTACAGTCAGATGCACGCACACAGAATCGTCTAACCACACAGGTGATGCTCATTATGAGCTCCATACTGCATCTGGGCAAGTCTGGCTATCCCAGCAAGCCGATCACATACGATGACTCCGATCGCATCATGGTTTGTCTGCGCACTCTCAGCGATCGTACACCAGAGGCAGTTGCTGTTTTCAGCCACGATTGCCGCACCGCACTAGGAAATATGCTGGATGCACAGCAGGAGGAGGATCAACGCATGCAGAAGGAGAAACAACGTGCCACGGCTAAGGTGCAGCCGGATTCGCCAGTGCTGTTTGCACAGCTCTCGAACGGACGAGACAATCAGCTAGGCGAGAATGTATTCGAGTCGAGTTTGAATCAAGCATTGGCTGGCAGCAAGACCGCCCAGCTCAGCGATATGTCGTCGCCCAATAACAAACTGAATAAGGTTACCCAGCTAACGGGCTTCTCCGATCCGGTCTATGCCGAGGCATACGTTAATGTTAACCAGTACGACATTGTACTAGACGTGCTGATTGTCAATCAAACAAGTGAGTTATTCTCCTAAAAAAATCCTTCCCAGTTATTGTAATTTTCTTGTGTACAATTCGCTTAGATGACACTCTACAGAACTGCACTTTGGAGCTGGCCACATTGGGCGATCTGAAGCTAGTAGAGCGTCCACATCCGGTGGTGCTGGCGCCGCACGATTTCTGCAACATTAAAGCCAATGTGAAGGTCTCCTCCACAGAGAACGGTATCATCTTTGGCAATATAGGTGAGTGAAGTGGAGTGGGGTGGAGGGATACCGGGAGACTTATACCACTGATTGCTAAATCACAATATCGTCTTGCAACATCTTGCAGTATACGATACGGCGCTGAACACGAACGTCGTGGTACTCAACACCATACACATTGACATCATGGATTACATCATACCGGCCAGCTGCACAGACACTGAGTTCCGTCAGATGTGGCAAGACTTTGAGTGGGAGAACAAGGTTACGGTGAACACCAATTTCACCGATCTGCACGAGTATCTCAAGCACCTGCTAAAGAGCACCAACATGAAGTGCCTGACGCCGGAAAAGGCGCTTTCCGGCCAATGTGGCTTTATGGCCGCCAACATGTATGCCAAGTACGTACCCAATCCTTACAGCAATTTACAGATGTTTGCTAAACAAACCTTAACTACTTATCGATTGCAGATCGATTTTTGGCGAGAACGCCTTGGCCAATCTAAGCATTGAAAAGCCTGTCGACGATCCCGATTCGAAGGTGACGGGTCACATACGTATACGCGCCAAGAGTCAGGTGGGTTTTCATTCAAATTTCATTCCCTTTTGTAATGGCCACTCACCACACAAACCGTCATTTGTGTTATCCACAGGGCATGGCACTTAGTCTGGGAGATAAAATCAGCTCCTCGCAAAAGCAATCGGTGCAGGCTGCCTAGTTGATGAGTAGCAACAGCGACGTGAACAGCAGAGGCAGCAGCACCAAGCACAAGAAATCGAAGCATATTTGAGAGGTGGCCGAGCCACGGCCTGCATTCCGCCTGATTTTCAATTAAAAGCAGATTACAACAGACTATTACTTACATACATCTTAAAGTAACGCATGCAATTATCTACTTATTTAATAAAGTTAACCACCCCAAATTCAAGTATTTTTTGTGTGTGAAAGCGAGACAGTCCCATGACATGACAATGTGATACATTGTGTGCTGGAGCGAGAGAGCATACACTCCATGCAGTTCTAGTGTTGGCAGTACCAAGCCACATCTTAAGTGGTAACCCAATGGCCAGCTGAGTACGACTTCTGCAAATATCACTTCGTACATTCAAAAATGTTAGTTGAACAAAACGAAATGGATTTGTGCTCTATATTAACTTAAATGAATGAAACTTATGTTGTGGCATCACATTGCCCATACTAAGGAGTTTTAAGTTTCAATTTATTCCATAGTTTGCAAGTTGTCAAGGATTTTACGTTTTTTTCGACTCCAGACGACCCTATTATTAAATTATCCTAACTCTTTCGAAAATCAACCTTAAAGAGAATACTAATTCCATTAAAGAACCAAGATAAAAGGATATTTGCGGTAGGTTAGGTTAGGTTATATCGGCTGTCAGCCCGATGGACTTAGGCCATATTTGGCCCGTTGTGATACCGAATGGGATCCAGGGGGGGTTTCCTCCTGCAGTCGTGCCTCCAAAGCATTTTTACAGTCAAACATTTGACCAGCCAGATGCGTTAATGAATTTCGCTATCTTGGCCGGTCTCATATGTCGGAGCTCCGATAAACCAATTAGGAAGTAGTTTCCCAGGATTTCCAGCCTTTTCCTGGCAAGTGCTGGGCAGTGGCAGAAGAAATGTTCCGGAGATTCCACTTCTTCCTCGTTTTTGCAGCTTCTGCAAAAGTGATTGTATGGCACCTGGAGTCTGTTGGCATGAATGCCGACCAGCCAGTGCCCAGTTAGAGCCCGGATCACTGCAGAACAGTTGGTCCGACTTAGACTGCACAGCTCTTTGCTGCGCTTGGAGTTGATGATTGGCCATGTCTGGTGTGCTATGCGGGCACAGGTGGCATTTTGCCATTTTTTGCATGACCTGCGCCTGTACTCCGTCTTAATGTTGAGCTTACAGGTAGCTAGAGGCATACTTATACCTTCCTTGCCCGCGAGGAGTGGTAGTACAGTATCTTTCCTAGTTAACTCATCGGCTTTACAGTTGACTTCACTGTCCTGGTGACCAGGCACCCATATCAGGCTAATAACATGCTGTTTAGCTATCTCGTGTAGAGATTTGTGACAGGTTATTATTGATATCGAATTGGAAAATATCGAGCTGATGGATTTAATTGCGGCCTGACTGTCAATATATATGTTTATATTGCTAGGGCTAACTTTGAGCCTTTCTAGGCAGTCTATATCTTCCTTTATGGCCAGTACCTCAGCTTGAAAGACACTGCAGCGTGTTGGAAGGCTAAAGGATAACTGTATGTTGAGTTGCTCGGAGTAGACCCCTCCGCCTACGCGGTTGTCTAGCTTGGAGACGTCTGTAAAGAAGGTTTGGTTGCCGGTGGACCGGGGGCTGCCATGAACCCATTCCTGCCTTTGTGGGAAGTATATATTGAAGGGAGTTTCCAGTTGTGTTACTGGCACGCAGTAATCTGTTTTTGAAGGGATGATTGGCTTCTCTTCTAGGATAGAGGCATTGCCAGTGCTCTGAGTAGCCCAGTCAAGGGATTCTCTGAGTCTTTTGGCCGTGAGTGTTGCATTTTCCATTCCTTATCTTTCCAGACACGGGATGTCCAGGATAGCGTCAAGTGCCTCACTAGATATGCATAGTTCAGCCATACGCTGAACTTTGTTTAGTTTAGAAAGGGTGGTTTTCTTTTTAAGACAGGGCCACCATACTGCGACGCCATACAGAAGTATAGGTCAGACTATAGATGTGTATAACCATTGAACGATATTTGGGGACATACCCCATGCCCAATGGATTTCCTACACGTATATAGAGCGACTGTTGCATTTTTAACCCGTGTTTGGATATTTAGGTTCCAGTCTAGTTTCCTATCCAGTGTCAGTCCTAGGAAATTGGCACTGTTGTTGAAGATCAGATTCACATTATTTAGTCGGGGTGGGACAAGAGAAGGGACCTTGTAATTTCTTGTGAAAAGAACCAGTTCCGTTTTATTTGAGTTTACCCCTAATCCACTCTGTTTTGCCCAGCAAAAGTATGTATTTCTGTATATATATATGTATGTCAGCCTTATTCTTGCATATTACAATTAATATTAAAAATATCGCTTTATCAAAATTTAATTTGCCTTTCCTATGCTTATTTGAATCACAATTCTTATTGATGGTCTATTTTGTTTATTAAATACATACGTATATTTATTTTATTATATACGATACATTTTTTTATCACAATTAAAATTAATTGAATATTATTTTATCGGCGCGGGCTTTTAACTAGCGGTGTTATCGCACACATCGATAATCACTTAAGCGATAGTTGATCTATCGCCATTTGACAGGGCCAGCGCTAGCCGCTGACGTGTTTCCAGTTACACAAAAACACGATTCAATTTAGCTCTCAGCATAATTTCGCATATTTAACTGACAATATGTGATATTGTGATTCTGACAACATATTAGCATAATAAATGTTCAGACTTACACCGAAAGTGAGGTAGAGTGCTGCGGTAAATAATTGAACAGTTAATAACAACAAAATGATTGCAGGCTCCAAATTAACCAATACAACAACAACAACAGGGATAGCGGTTAGCACTGAGAAGTAGCGGCCACGGCAACAACAAACGAAGTGGAAAGCCAGCCGCACTAAACTGTAGCCGTGGCCACAATCGAGCAGCAGCAACTGCAAACACATAAACGCAGACAGAGAGAAACACATACGCATTGAGGTTGCCCCCAACTTAAAGAAACAGCACAGACATGGCGCTGCTGACGATGATTGCCCGTGTCATAGATGGCCTGCCACTAGTTGGCACCATGCAGGATGATGAGCAGGTGCGTTGACACACACACACACACAGACACACACATACACACTGACAGCGAGACAGACAACTAGACATACATGTATGTATGTGCATATGAAAAAAAAAAACACTTTCACTTTTCGCATGTCTTAAAGAGCGGACGCAGCATCTTGGACTATCAAAATCAAGCGAAAATGCTATTTCGCAAGCTGGGAACACACTCGCCGGCGCGCAGCAGCATCGAAACCGGACCATATCTATTTCAGTAAGTTCACATTAAAGCTGGTTCATGAATCCGATTAAACATAAATTCATACAATTGCTGCGGATGAAGTCGATCTTGTGAGTGGCTATTTAATTGACCTAATATGACTCTGTTTTTCTTTCATTGAATTATCGCCCAATCACATCGTCTTCACACCCGGCCACAGCTATCTTATCGAGAACGATGTTTGCTACTTGGTAATGGTTGATAAAATGTATTCAAAACGCTTGGCATTCAACTATCTGGAGGATCTGGCGCAGGAGTTTCACACAAACTATGGCAGACGTGTCAATTCGGTGACACGCCCTTATGCCTTCATCGAGTTCGATGTGTACATACAGAAGGCGAAAAAGCAATTGACAGACCGCAGGCGAAACATTAGCAACATCAATACACAACTGCAGGATGTGCAGCGTATCATGGTCCAGAATATTGACGATGTGCTGCAACGTGGCACCGTGTTGGCAGGTGTGTTAACCATAAAAACCACATAGCCAAATGCTAACCAAATTATAATACACATTTTATCATGCTTTTTTCACAGAGCTGGACACAAAAACGCAAAACCTTTCGATGATGTCGCAGAAGTATAAAAAGGATGCCAAATTGCTAAATCGCAAATCGATGTACGTGAAGGCGGCCGCCGTTGGCACTATATTTCTAGTGTTTATACTATACTTTTGGGTTTTGTAATATATGTATGTACGTTAGTCGCATTAGTTGTTAGTTGTTAAATTGTAATTGGCGTTGTTTGCGATGCGCCGATGATGATGATTGCTGTTGTCTCTGTCGTCGTCGTCACTGCCGGCCAAACGTCATAGACGTGTTGAATAGAGGAGCAGCAGCAGCAGCATAGCGGCAGCAAGTGTGCCGCTTGTTATAAAGGCCAAAAGACATTTAAATATATTATATTCTAATTGTATAACAACAGCAGTAACAACACTAGCAACAACTACAACAGCTAGATAATAATGTCCACTAATTGGGTGGCACGCATTTTTGATATGCGCCGCGCTTGCTTTAATTTACATTATGCTTTGGGTTTAAATTTCATTTCCACATACACACACATTCACACACACACACCCAGAAAGAGAGAGGCAACGATAAGCGAAACAACTCCATAAACCATCGATAATATACACAGTTCCATTGACTTCTGTTTATGACTTTCTTTTAATTGGTTTGCTGTACATCACGAATTGAATATAATATTGCATGCCGAAATTTAATGGCAACACCAGTTTGTATCTTTTATGGAGCGTCCCAGGCGAAGTGAAAATGTAAATTGTAGAAAATGTGTGTAAAAATAGTATATGTATATGATATGCTGATCTTGATAGTGTCTAAAGACGGTCGGATGATATGTAACATCAATAAAATACAATTTTAGGCGATTTATATAAATTTATTAAGAAATTACTATTTAAATGGGCTTTTCGCCTAGAGGCTTTTTTGCTTATTGGCAATAAGTTTTCGAGCTCGCAGAGTTTCTTGGTACTCCATTCCCAAAACCCAGTGAAAATGCGTTAGTTATTTTTTGGTAGTTTTTAATGATTAATTTTTCCATTATATATTTTCTTTCGTTTTGAGTGATGATATATTCTCCTATTTCTTGCAATATCTGCGCTGACAAATATGTATGCATGTGTGTATGTATATATATATATATATATATATATATATAGTTGAATGCTGCTTTTCTGGTTGCGATTTTGCATATATATTTTTAATATCAAATTTTTACAATTAGGAAAAAAATGCGCCGTTAACATTTACACATTTATTAACGTAATTTTTGTATAATTTGCTTTTGTTAAGTATATGTCTGTACGCGTCTACATATGTATACACATACATATATATATATTGTTATAGTGTGTTAAGTTGCTTGAACTAAATTCAAAATTATTATCGAAAGCGCTTTGAGATGTACTCAGTAAAAAGGTCCAATCGATAAGGAGCAATTTTTTAAACCAAATTTGTAGAAATTGAAAACAAAAAAAACTTAAAGGGCTTACGAGTGCTATCGATTTGTTTTATTTTGTTTTTTTTTTTTTGGCTATTTCTAAGTACTTGACTTGGAATAAATATTTTTCCATACACATTGAATACATGTTTAATTTCTTTTGTTTTGTATATTGTTTCACTGGATATCATGTATATCAATTACAATCTTTATATTGGCATACATTTACTTGTTTTTTACTAGAAGCTCTGGCTGTGTTCGGTTGGCTATTTTATTACTTTAGCACATATAATTTGTTAAAGTTTTTAAAAAAGAATTTGAATAAAAACATTTATTTTAGCTGTGAAATGAGGGGACACAAACCTGATTCAACTTTATAAATTGCGATTATAAAAATAAAAAACCCTTTGTACATATATATATATATATTTCTTTCGCGCGATATCTAGACAACATTAATATATATTGTGCTCTCTACGCAAATCTAGTAAGTACGACAAGAGCAGAAATCATATACTGTATATGTATTTATCTCGTATCTAGATCTAAGTATGCTACACATCTTTTCAAACTCCTCAACTACAGTTTGCTTACGGAAAAAAAAGTATTTCATATCTGAGCATGAAAAATGCTATACAAAATATGGTTATACAATTGTAAATTCTTCCACTCTGCTGCTCATGAGTAACACTAATGTTTATTTAGATATTGCTTTAGCCTATTTTTGTTCATCTTGTTGGGTTTATTTATTTATTTATAATTACTATTATTTTTTTTTTTGGCTTGATTCGTTATCTTGTTAGTCGTCGTTTGTCGTTGTTCTACATTCGAAAGGCAGTTTTTGAGCATGGAGGGACAATGTGAGATTCATGAAGAAGCTTTAATTAATAAGAATGTTGAATATATGCGTATAATACGATTATACATCGGTGAGAGTAGAAGAAAGTTTTTGAAACGCTGCGAATAATTTGTACAAATTGCTGTGTAAAAATAAAGGGAAACCCGGAATCTGCAGAAATATATATATAAATAAATATATATATAAATAAATATATATATATATATATATATATATATATATATATATATACATCTATATATATATGTACATACTTATACCATATGTATTATATGTATATACCTAACACGGAGTACGGCTTAGATCTAGTAAAAAACAAAAAAAAAATATTTATAATATATGGTTGAGTTGTGTTTAAAGTACGAGTACCGTAATTAGCTTAGCTTAGGAAAGAACGTTCTTTTGTTTTGTCATAGTGTTGAGTAGCGCATAAAGTACAGTAGCACTGGCGTACTTAAAGGCTTTTGCTTACACTGCTCAATAAGTGCTCATTTTGTATGGACTCTCACATACATATATAAGTGTATTTATGTAGGTATGTGTGTGTATAGTATATATGCATATGTATTATATTAATGTATATGTATATGGTACTATTCCTGAAGACGACCCATCCTCGAAGTTCACTTGATGCGCTGATGATCGGGCGTGCTCTTCAATATGTCCGGCTGATGCGGATGCGAATGCGAATGATGATGATGATGTGCCGCTGTCTGCGAATTGAGCGTACCCTGATGGCTGCCACCGCTACCGCCACCAGCACCACCACCGCCATGGTGCGAACTGCTCAGCGTATGCGAATGCGTTGAGTTTAGCGTGTGGGTTGCATGTGAGTTAAGCGTATTGTGAGCCGTTGTGGTTGCATTCGTGGAGAAGCCCGTGATGCTGCTGGCCGCGCCAACAACGGTGAGGCTTGTGAGGCCAGCGACGCCAGCAATGCCACCACCAGCAGCAGCAACGCCGCCGCCTGGTCGCTGCGACGTGCGCAGGGAACGATGCGAACCGTTGCGGGTGAGGGAGTTCATCTGTGGTGTACCGGGCACCGTGTGTCCCAGCGCATTCATATAGTCGGCAATGAGCAGCGTGATCTCCAAGATTTTCGGCTTGCTCATGGCGAACAGGAGCTTCTGTTCGCAGCCGCCGGCTAAAGTGCCGTCATCGTGTGACACCACCAGCATAAAGTCGTCCTGACAGCCACCGAAGGTCATCACAGTGCTATAGGGATACCGCGCCACCGGCGCCATCGTCGACAGCTCGAGCACATTGAGCGCATCCTCGGCAACGGCCAGCCAGGCGACGGGCGAATTATTGGTTGAATGCGGCTCGCTTTGGCGCGGCTTAGCCTGAAAGAGGCAGGCACCGAAATAGGTCCACTTGCGGCAGCAGGTCAAATAGATGCGTACACAATCCAGCGTAGAGCGCCCCTTGAGCAGCGTCCACTTCGATATGAGCAACTCCTGCACATCCTTCACCTGATCGGCGCCAAGTGCATCACGATAGCGATACGGATAGAACTTGTCAAGTGCCTTGAGGCCCACATCGCGCGACTTCTCGTGCGTGTAGTCACCTATATCGATCTGTGACATCAGCGATGCCAGCTCCAGCGCCAGTTCGCGCGAGAGTGGAAAACGTCCCTGGACAATCTGGGCATTTGTCTGGTAGCAGAGCAGCAGTCGCTCCTTGTCCGTCTCGCACTTGATGGTGTGCTTCCAGTACAAGCGGTTCTTGTAGCTCAGCTGTATAACGCGCGAGTTCTCGAACTTGCCGGAACCCTTTTCACGCAACGCTGTCTCCCACTTGCTGATCACATCGCACAGCTTGGCCAGCGGCTCCAGATAGTGCTCCAAATCCTTTTCAATCGGATCATCGCTGAATAGACAAAATCCATTGGTGGCATCCCGGGTGCCCAGTTCTTGGGCGAGAGTCGTCTGGAATTCCTCGATTGTGGTGGAGCCATCAAAGGAAACCACCTGCAAAAATCAGCGAGATTATAGATTATAATCATAAACGTTTAAAACTGAACTAGTTAACTGAGCTCAAGCCATAAGATCTAAATGAAAACAAGTACAAATGCTGTAGACGAGTGAGCTCGACCTCGAAATATCCTGAACCCAGCTGTCCAATATATTCTTATTTTATTGGCAAATGTCCCTTTAAAAGTTTTGAACCCACGCACAATATTTTCTTAAGGCAGACACACTAAAAATACTTGCGGCTGCTGATGCAATTTGGGTAGTCAATAATATGAATATGCATGTTAATTAGAAGCCTCTGTCTTTCAAATTCTGGCATTTATTGCTATCGGAAATTAAAATGTATCGATAATCCAGAAACGGAGGCAGTTATTGCCTTTGTTCCAAATTTGAAGTCTCTAGCTCGTTTAGTCTCTGAGAGCCGTGTGTTCATACAGACGGACATGGCTATATCGACTCGGCTGTTGATCCTGATCAAGAGTATATATGCTTTATGGAGTCGGAGATGCTTCCTGTATACATTTGCAAAAATACTTTTACCAATTTTGAATGAGTTCAGGGTATAATTAAATAATTACAGCAAGCAAATTTTGTGAAAATGGTGAACATCGATCTTATAAAAGAAAGTCAAATTATCAATCTAACTTCTAAAGCTCCGCAAAATAAAATGTTCAGAACGAGATTTTTCAATTATGCAAGGATTGCACAACCTACATTAGGTACGTTATATATTGTTTCGATTTTACTAATTATAGAAAAGTGGAAAGTCGAAAATACTTTCCAGTATATAATCTTATCCATCTGGAACAGCATACAAACTGACTTTAGTAAGTTCTTACCTGATAGGTGGTATTCATCATGTGCACGGGTATGGCATGTGGCAGGGAGTGATGATATGGATTCTTCAGCAATATCGAAAGGACCTCCATGCGGGATGGCTTTGTCTCGCGTCCTCCGTTCTTAAGAGTTCGTTCCAATGCCCGCTCACAGTAGGCGGCGTATTTGCCCGTCTCCGTTTTGGTGTCGGCATTGCGGGACAAATGTAGTTTGAGATACCAAAGCAAACGACTGGACTTGGGCACAAACAATGAAACGGCCAGGGCGAGCAGTTGCCAGCCCTGGACAAAGCTATACGCGGGCGGATTTGACTTGCAATCGATAATCGGCGTCGAAACGGGCGCCTGCTCAAAAATAAATGAGAAAAAATATTAAGGTCAGTTAGTGGAAGGCAATGGAGGTGAAAAGTTGTGTATTGGATTAGGCAACTCTACAATTGACTACTATAACTGAAAGCAACAGTATAACACTGGACAAACGACATAAACAAATAACGTATATTGTATATCGTATATCGTATATCGCAATTCGCAATTTGTTTTGCTTATCGTATATCGATTATGGAATGACAAGACAAATTTCCCCTCATACCTGTATCGAAGTGGGCGAACTGCCGTTGGCTTGAGCTTGGCCAGCCTGTTGAGTATCACAGGTGAACAGGCTTTGGGTGGCGCACAATAGTAGTTGCTGTAAATTTCGTGAACATTGTCGTCGTCGTTGTCATCGTCGGTACAGTATTGTGTTGGTAAATGGTTGGTATTTACGGGTTTGCGGTTATCGGTAATCGGTATTAGATTTGGTTCGATACACATACAAACGAAACGGAAAACACGTTTCAAAACCAATAAGAAACCGAATAGGAGAATGGAAGAAAAGCCAAAAAACATTTGCTGATAAATTTTTGTATGGTAAGCTGACAAAATGTTGAGTTTTTTTTTGTTTAACTAAATGCTTCTAGTTGTTTTTTTTTTTTTTTTTTTTACAGAGATATATGTATGTGTGTGAACCGCTAACACAAGTTATTCTCTTGCTTTTGTTGTTGTTATGTTTGTTTTGTTGTAAGGCGCAATAGGTAAAGAAAACGAGTTACTGTATCAATAATGCAAAACATTCAAAGCCATTGAACAAAAAAGAAGGCAGCAAACTGTGCGAAAAATAACAACAGAAAACTCTACAGATCAACAGAGAAGAAGAAGAAAAATACGAATATGATGTATGTATGTATGCACAATACATACGCTTATGCTCGGCCAACTTAAACGTTATTAACACTTTATCAATAGCAAAGTGAGGTTATTTGCAAACTTGTTATTTTGATAAGCGAGCTGCGCATAAACACTAAGCAGACAATTCAATTTGTCCTGTATTGTCTGCTTAGTAGTATAAACGTAGCGCAAGACTGGATATGTGTCTGTGTGTGTGTGTGTGTGTGTGTGTGTGTGTGTGTGTGTGTGTGTGTGTGCGAGTGTCTGTGAAGTAGGATACGCACACACTGATACTTAAAGTATACTTTGAAGTTCAAAGTTTGAACTGTTTCTTAATGTGGTTCAGGTTGTGTGAGTGAATGCTATGGTGACTTAATTGGTTCATTAGGGTTCGGTTGCAAGTGATGTTCGAATTTTGTCATAAAATGTGAAACTATCGATACCATAAACGCTCTGCTATGCAAATTAGTTTTTCCGGTTAGGAGCTCTATATATAAATATTAATATATATATATATATATATAAATATATATATATAAATAAATATATATATTTATATACATGTAGTTGTCATTAAAGCGAACAAACGATCGGTTACATATAACAGAGAAAAGTTTGAACTTAATTGACAATATCGGGCCCCTCCTAATATATTATATTGTCATAAATAGAACCAAGAGTTTAGGCATTACTAATCGTTCCTCAACAATATATTGGAACACTGATCTCAACTATCAAGATCAGTCAAATATGTACTATATATACATATGTATCTGCTCAGGAATTATGTACATTATTAATTGCCCCTTCTTGAGTACGTATGTATGTATGTAATAATATGTATGTATATGTTTGTTATGTTTGAGAGATGTGCGTTGTATATTTGTACATATGTATGTTCTTTAAAGGTAGTTGTAGTATAGTAGTGTATACAAAGTATACTTTGTAAACATATAGTATGGCATACTACTCGTATAGAATGTATGAAATTTACAGCAATTACTTTATACAATGATAATGAAACACCAAGAATCAGATAAAAATATACACAAGAATATAACTTTAATTGTTTATTTTGTGCTGATTGCTGTCTTTTTGTTTTGTTTTTGATTCTTTTGAAAGCTATATATGTATGTACACTAAGAAGTATGTGTGTGGACAGAGCTGTAAAATATGTGTACACATAGGTAAAGTTTGGCAGTTATGGGGGAAATTCATTGTCTGTTCACTACTTGAAGTACAAATCAAAACAAATTAAACGCAAAAATGAAAAAAAAAAATATATATATATATATGAAGAATAATCGAATTGAATACGAACAATTAGTTAGGAGAGCATGCTAAAAACTACAAGAATAAACTATTGCATGAGTATGATATGATATAGGTATGTTTGTGTGATTAACTTATCGATTATAAAGTATGTGTTAGATTTGTCGTAAGCTCTTTCAAATTAAAGCAAAGCTTTTTGTCGCTGATCCTTTAACAAAGCGATGATTTATATAAGCAATTAAAATAAAATTGAAGAATAATAGACCTTTGTGGTATTTGATATACGATACCTAGTTGCATGGACTTTTCAGGAAAGGTAACACTTGGAAGCTGCATTGAGGAAAAGCTTTTAAGCTGTTTGATTGAAGTTTTAAAATGCTGTAACGTGTACATGAGCAGTGAGTGATCTGTGTGACAGTAAAGGCTTTTGGAAGAATTATTTTTCCTTTTTTAAGTACAGAATCGAAAGCTCTGTAAGGACTTTTATAGTTTGCCTTTACTCTGATAAGGAATCGAAGGCCGCGTGCTAGACATGTACACAACTAATTAGTAAGTGGATTAGTCAAGGAAATTACAGAGAAATCAATAGGAAATGAGAATGTTAACAACAAATTTTGGGGGGATACAACTAAAAGTGTCTTTAAAGGATAAAAAGCTTTGCAACTTAAAAACTTACACGCGTTTGCTTGCCCAGTTTCTTGTTTACCTGGACACCGACACTTAGTTTCTGACCCATATGTCGGGAGGTTTGCTTAATTAGAATGCAAATCATTTCGGTCTGTAGTTCCGGCATGTCCAGGCAATGCTGCAAAGCATTCTGGGCGAGCACCACATGGTAATCGATGCCTGGCTGGTTCACAGCCACAGACATGAACAGCTGAATGCTCTATGTAATAAATAAATATATAAAGGGTTATACGAATATCAAAGATCCAAATCCGGTTAGATAATGATCTTACCTTGAATAGCTTGATGGCCTCCGGCTGCATAGTCTCGGTGTGCATCGAGGACAGTGGCGCTGTTATTGTATCTTTGGTGTGCAGCAGTATGGGATGACGCCAGAGTACACAGTCTAAACCAAATTTGGGAAAGGCCGTTACGATTTATATACAGTTGCAGTTCACATTAAAAAATAAATGTGCGATCTTTTGTTCTTTTATTGTCGATTAATGTGTAATGCTTAGAGACATCTCTATACAAAAAACATATGAAAGCAGGTACCGATCTTTGAACGAGATACTATTCAACGAGATATTAACCAAATTTGGTGCCTCTAGGAATTGGAATTGTGGTAGATTTTTATCGAATTTATCGATTGCCTAACCAGGTTTTAAGTTGAGTTGCGCTCATTCAAACAGACAGACGGAGGGACATTTCAGAAAATGCAATATAGTCGGTATAATGAATATTTTTATCGAACTTAAAAGAAAGCTCTTAAGATAACCATTTAAATGGGAAGCTTCTCAACTCATAATGTACACGCAATAATTATCGAGATGTGCTGTTTTGGTATGCACTAATGTAGAATCTAGAATCTACAGTCAAGTCAATATTGTCCATTAGTTGCATTGGATGTTTATAAAATTTTTCCTGCCCCTTTGCCTTTGTCGCAGGCTGCACATACCCATACATATACATATGATGGAGTTGGACAGATCATACCACTATACACTAATAAGTAAATATATGTAACATTACTATTTAAAATTGCAACTTCCATTATACGTTCAGCTAACACTACTCAACACTTCTATTGTGTATTATTTGAACTTACTTGGATCCCCATCGGTTTCCATTAGCTTCTGCACGAGCTGCTCGTACTGTGTGCCTGCACTGGGTCCTCCGCCAGAAACGACAGTGAGATGATATAACCAATTGTCGCGCTCCGGTTTGCCGGATAGAATCAGATAGGTGGGACCCTGATGCGCCGGATAGATGGCGACGGTGAGTCTTGCCTGATCTTGCGCGGCATCCTCGCGTTCCTCAGAATCAGAATCGGACACATGCTCCACTTCCTCAACGCGTGCATCACGCATATTGATCTGACCCAGTGGATTCTGTGTGGATTGTGATGATTTGACATTGTAGAAATTATACTTGATACACTTTACTTACCGTCTCAATAGGCGCCTTGAAGTAGAGAAACATTTTGCCAAGTAGGACGCACCAGCATTTTTTGGCATGCCCGTTCTTTACCTTGGTCACCCAGCCCTGTACCGTCGGCTTCTGATCGTCTCGACTGAGCAGCAGTTTGGTTGCATTACGCCGCTGCACATTCTGCAGCACGCGAATCCAGTCGTCCATGGTGGCATGCGAATCTGCGGTTAGATAGTACACCTTCTTGCCCGTATCAATCTCAAAGGTGGAGGCGCCCTCCGCCCGACTGATGCGACAGGCCTCGTCCAGTTGGATCTGTCCCTGCGGCTTGCGCTGCACATCGTGCTGGCTCTTCCAGTAGGTAAGGCTGCCGTTCTTCAGGACAAACCAGCGTTTGCGCCAAGTCTTCAATTTACCGCCCAGCTTAGCCAGGTGACCCATCTACGTGGAGGAGAAGGAGAAATAAAAAAATAGAAGATCTAAGGTTAAGGCAATAAAATGTAAAGAAAAAAACACTTGACATATGTTAACATAACAAAACAATAAAACAGAAAGCAATTAAAAAATGTAGAATAAAAAACGCTGACTTAACTAATTTTTAATTTAAGAAATTGAATAATAAGTAATATGTATATATTGATCTCGATTGATTTAATTTATTTATTTTTTAATTAAAAACAAATTTTGATATTTTTTTTTGCTTTAAGAGTTGTAAATTCATTGAAAAATACTTGTTCATATTCAAGTGCATTTCAGTGTATGTATATTATTAGCAGGCACCATAATCATGGTTTATGTTATAGAAACCTAAATTATTAGATTATTTATGCAATCTTAGTTGTTTGCTCTCAAAAATAATGGTTATTTTGAGTTCAAAATGATTCAGCTTGCGCAAATTTTATTTGATTTTTGTAAGTTTATCGTTGTTTAGCAATACATTGTATAATTCAGTCTCACCTTCTCGAGCGACTCGAGTTTCTTGCTGGGCGAGTCGACGTAAGATTGGCGCATCAAAAGCGATGGCATCGAGGCGTCCATGCACGTGGATTCGGAAACGGCATCGGGTGGCAGGGCATAGTCATCGGAGAGGCCTGATTCAAAGGAAAGATGTGAAATTACTGTGCCACGCATGTGGGGGCTCACGCGCAGTTGCGTCGGCTGCGCGCCAGAAGGCGTATGTAGGCGTGGCAGCGTGCTCTGTGCTCTGTGAATGGGCGCTTGTAGGTGTGGCAGAGTCTGATGAAGCTGATAATGTTGTTGTTGGTGTTGGTGTTGGTGTTGCGGTTGTAGTCTTGATGTGCTTGTGTGGCCTGTTGTGTGTGTGTGTGTGTGTGTGTGTGTGTGTGTGTGTGCGTGTGTGTGCGTGTGTGTGTGTGTGCGTGTGTGTGTGAATGGTAAATGGTGGTTACAAATGAAATGGCCCCACAACAAGAGCGTGGAGGGGTGAGGCGAAGGAGATGCAACCAGTTTGAAGTTGTTAGAATACATGGATAACAAATTAGTTGTTATAGAAAAGAATTAAGGACTTGCAATCGCGACTTGAACAAATATCTTATCAAAAACGTATGCTATTTGTAATGCAAAAGAAATGGATTGGGATAGGGGATAGGTACAGGGATAGATTTGACGAAAGCTTAAATGCAATCATTGCTCAACAAATGTATATATATGTTATATATATATATATATACATTCGATATCAAAGTATAATAATTTGCGTTCTTTGGAATTTGAATGTAAACAGAAAAATTACACAACCAAAAAAAAAGAGACAACGATTGTAAAAATGCCAAGCAACAAATGTATAATCAGGTAAGGAAAACAATATGCATTCGATTGGGACAAGTGTAAAGCGATATAAGAATGGGATATGTTAGTACTAGCTGTAACATGGGAATATACCAAAGCAAGCAAGAAATGCAATTGGAAAATGAGTTCAAGCTTGGGCAGCACTTAATGTTAATGGCAGCAAGGGTATACAGAACACAGGATAGCATTCTAGTTGGCTGTTAGTTTTTCAGGCGGGTGATTTTCACCAGTTTCTTCGTTAGTGCTGTTATCGCTGTGGTTGATGTTGTCGATGATGAGCTACCGCTACCGCTACCGTTACGCTTTACTGGTTTTTACGGGGCAGATGCGCGTGCGGGGAGTACAAAAAAATGTTGGGGAGTGAAGTACATACCACGGGCCTTGGCATTTTTGGGGCTTTCGGAGCCGCTGCGCTTGGCCGGGCTCAGGCTCGACGAGGTCTTAAGACTTTTCGAAGGACTCGAGGCACTGCCAGATGTGGACGTCTCCGTGTTATCCGTGCTGGATGAGTTGTGCGAATTGTGCGTGAGCATGACGGCGTGATCTTCACCATCGCTCGAATCATCGCTAGAGTCGCCCGTGAAGGGCATCGAGCGGATTTGCGAGGCACGCCCCTTGACCGTGGCATAGACGGGCACAGAGATATCACAGAAGCCGCCGCTGGCGGTTTGTTGCTGGCGCGTCGGTGGCGGCTGCGGTGTGCCCGGCGTTCCGCTGTTGCCCAACGTTCCGTTCGCATCCTGTCCATGCCCTGGCCTCGACCTGCCATTAGACAGAGTTAGCTGACTGTGCTCCTGTACATCGGGCGTCGGCTCATTGCTGACGTTGCTTTCGTTGCTTATATTGCTGGTGCCAGTTCCGTGGCCTGTGCCAGTGCCAGTGCCAGTGCCAGTGCCAGTGCCAGTGCCTGTGCCGGCGAGTCCATCGTTGGCCACCTGATAGATCTTGGCCTCCCAGCTAGGGAAACGATGCAGTGGCGGTGTGGGCGGCCTGGGCACGCCCACCTCGCTAGTTGTGGTTGTAGTTGTGCTCGAATTGCCACCGCTGGCCATTAGCGCCGGATTGTTCTTCATCCAGGCCGGCAGTTTCTCGCACGAGGGCGTATAGATTTCCGCATAGTCGTGCGCCGTATCCGTATCGGAGCTATCCGGACGAGTACTTGCAGCCGCTGCCGTCGAGTGCGTTGCTTTGCTTGAGATGCTCGACAGCGGTGCCAATGTGAGCCCATCAACGGCCGCAACTAGATTGCGTTCCAGCTCCTGCGGCTCCATTGACAGATTGCGTCGATGCTGATGATGCGGATATGAGCTGGTCAGCGGTCGGCTAATAATCTCCTGCGGATCGAGACTCTCGCTGCGTCTACGCGTTTCCGGCGTGCTGGCAAAATCCTGCACATCCAAGCTCAAACTATTGCGCACAGGGCCAACAATGCTGTGCCGTTGCGACTGATTGGCAATGTGATTCTTGAGCAGCTCCAGCTGCTGATTGCACTTGATATTCTGTTCGCGCAACAGCTGATTTTGCTCTTCGAGATCCCGCAGCTTATTGTTCACCCACTCCTTGATCTTAGCTGCCTTCGCCTCGATTTGGCGTGCGTCGTGCAAACGCAACTGCCGCTGCTCCTCCACCTGATACTCCAATGAGTTAATTGTTTTCTCCGCCTCGTTTTTTGGCTGGCCGCATGCTATGCTGCTGCTGCTGCAGCTGGCCAAAACGCTCTGCTGACATGCAGCGACTAAGGCTGCAGCGGCAACTGCCTGTTGTTGTTGTTGTTGTTGTTGTTGCTGCTGCTGCTGCTGATGTATGGGTGAGCTGGTGGCTGTGCCCTGCTGTGAATGTAGCTGTTGTTGTTGTGGTTGCTGCTGCTGTTGTTGCTGTTGCTGCTGCTGTTGTGCTTGTGCTTGTGGCTTTGGCCATTCACTAAGCCGCTGCTCCATAGCACGCACCTGCAAGCAAAACAGAAAGAGATGAATAGAGAGAGAGAGAGAGAGAGAGAGAGAGAGAGAAAAAGTGTGGGCAAAACCAAGCTCAACTACTATCAAAAATTGTACACTGAAAAGAAACAATTTTTTTTTACTTATTTACTTATTTCACATCTATTATCCTACGCATCCAACAACATCGACAGAATATGAAACTTCATTAAAAACTGTTATTTAGTAGAACACATATACGTAGTAGAATACATATATAAATATAAAGTCAATCTTCAAACCAGTATGGACGTATGCAATACAGCAATATATACAACCGACGGGTGAGTACTTCCCAATATTGAAAATATTACTCTATGAAACATTGAATGTACTACCTGGTATATAAACAACCTTGAAATCCACAATGACTTGGATAGGAAAACATTTATGAAAACCCACTGGGCTGAATGGCTGTTAGTCGCTTGAAAGGATGTCGTATCATATCATATAATGTTAAATAATTGTAACAAATTAATTAGGTAACATACAATCTTTCAGTATATTCATTAAAAGTAAAATCAATCCTGTTACGTCATTGTATTCATACAATTTTTAATATTTATAAAATTTGTGCTAAGATTTTCGTGCTTGAATCACAGATTGCGCACAAAATAATAAGAAAAACATGTCGACCTAAACTTTGTGAAATTCAATTAATTTGCTCCAAGCTGCGGCTGTAAAATGAATTGTTCGTTTGCCAGGGATAATGGTTACATATGTATGTCTGAACTGCAGACCGGGGATTAGATGTGCACATTGTGTGGCAAGAAGTTGAGGCAAAAGTAGAAGTAGCCAAGTCTTTAACAGTAATGTAGCTGAGCTGCATCGATCTTTGAGTAATTGAAAAGTTTCTTTGTCGCTATAAAATAATTTTAGATGTTTTTAAAGTTTTTGGCAGGATTATAGTTAGAAAGTTGAGTGTAATAAGTAAAGCTGAAACTAAATACTAAGTCGGCTAGCAAATAATTTGAAACTTTTAGCGTAGATGCACATTTGTAATTTCAACAAGTAATATCATTGATATGACAAGAAATACTAATAAAATAATGAGCGGAAACTGCTAACTAGCCCAAATTATATTTGATAAGAAAGAACGGTTATATTAGGGACGTCGGAAGTTTTATTTCCTTGTAGACCGAAGTCATCTACATCTAAATTTAAACAAATTCGGCCGATTGTTTCTATGAAAGCTATATGATATAATATTTTAATATTGATGATTTTTTGTATGAAATATGAGGAACATGACACAAATGTTATGTAAATTTGATTTTGATATCCGTTTGGACGGATACATGCTAGATTTCATTCAGATAAACTGAGATATTAGTTTGCAAAGAAAAAAACGATGGCTCTATGACTTGGCTAGTGTTACTGATCATGAGTATATACACTTTATACTTTAGTACATTGTAAAATGTAAAACAAAATTATAATAGCCTATACAAGAGTAAAAGATCTTGCTCCTTCTGTAATATATAAAACAGTCAATATTATGGATAGAATTTGATACTAGACTAGAATCAAATAAGACGACGACAGCAAATGTAGAAAGTTCAGCTTTAAATATGTAAGTTGATGAAAACCCGTTTTTAGGTTACCCAATATCAAGTCCAACTATTTCTAATTAAAATAATGCTGATTTAAGAGACAGTCAGCACGCTCAGGACTCAAAGGATGCAAGGACTGTCAAGCGCGTTGCTAAATTATAAGCGCAGTGGCACAATAAATTGTGTAATTAAACGCAACCATTTGTAGCAGACTATGGTGAGTTTTTAACACTTGCCTCACAGCTTCTGCTGCAGTTAAGCAGTTGAGAATAGCATAATTAGATGTGGCATGCAAGCACTGAATGCCTGGGTTCCAACGAATAACTGAGAGGCAAAAATTCCAAGAACAAATTTTTATGGGCACACTGTTTGCCGCCAATGCAACTGACAGACAGAAAGCAACTCAGAATCGAACGGAGGGAATAGTAAGAGTCACGGAGGCAATGATAAAGCAGATACCTTGACGCAAAGGACCCAAAAGAAATAAGTTAATTTGGCACGCCAAGTTGTTCAGGTTGCCCTCGAGTCTGGTCTCAGAAAACCAAGGAACTGAGAAATTAGCAGAGAACACGAGCTGGCAAAGTAGGAAAAGTAAGCCCGGAAACACTGTGAATGCAACACGCCATTTGGCCAAGAAGTAATGTGGCAACTACCTCTCGTCACCTCGGCGTTGCATTATTAGTTACCACTTGTTTGGATTGTGGCTTTGCTCAAAGGACAATGCATATGGGTCAATTGCTCAATGTTCGATGTTCGGTGTTCAATGCTCAATGTTCAGCTTGCAGGTCGAGGAACCCGTTTCAACTCCACTCAGCCACTGACAACATAAAGTTGCCTCAGCTGAAAGCTGAAAGCAACGTCTAATGCTCCGTGAAGCTCAGCTGGCGTATGTTCAAAATAAATAGACTGCCAAAAATAACCAAACAGAATGTCAGGTTATTGGATGCGACGCATATAAAATACCAAAGTTTATGCTTGTCCTGACACGAACACACATAAAGAATCATACACACACACACACACACTCGCATATACACTGCAGCGGGCCGAGGATAAAATGAGTTATGGTCATGCAAAACCAAAAAAATTTACACCAAACAAAGGCTTAGTCTCTACTTATTACCTGGGGGGAGATGTGTGTTGTGGCAGATCGGGAAATGTGTATTATGTATAATACATTATATTTAATCTTTATTTTTGGTCAATCTCCCCGAAGAAGTTCTTTTTGCAGCTATTTAATCATAGCCTAACCAGTCAGTCATTGGAGAACACTAATTTTCTTTTCGTTTCCAATAATCTATTCTGAAACCGCGCAAAAAATAATGTAAGGAAAAGTAAAAGATCCATGTGAAGAGTTTGCTTCGTGTGGAAAATAAAATCGATACAAGGTGCTCTATTTCTTTTGACAAAACGATTATAATCATTTTAGTATCAGCCAAACCATCAATTTACATAGAAAGCAACAAATTAACTCTTTAATAAAGTAAACCTCAAATAATACTAAGACAACAAATAATGAACGATCCAAATATATTGTAATCTATCCAATCATTTTAAAAATAATCCTGCTAAATAATAAGGTGAGTTACCCTAGCGCCGAATGTATTTTGGCAAGGCAATTATTACTTCATTAATATTTATGATTTTGAATTCTGCCGAACAATTTTTGTTGCATATTGCTCATGCACTGGGAAATCATATCTTTCCATTTAAAAAACATTTAGCTAAAAAATAAAATGTCAAACTAAGCCCCTCTCAACTTTGGCTTTGACTCTAATCCAGACCGAAATACTTACTTGACGTCAGTGTCAAAATCGATAAAAACATTTCCAGGTTTTTAGGCCGAAGAATATAGTCACAATAACACACAAAACTATACAACTTTTGTAGAATAGTCTGGCTTCACTATGCATCGAATCAGAGCATTGGCTGTAGGCAAGTCGTTTCGGTTGCAAGTTTCTGGCCAAAAACTTAAGCCATTAAATTTAATAGCGCCTCACAAAAACAAAAAATCTAAAAAAGTGGGCAGCGTTCTGTGCGCTTATAAATCTTGTGCAACTTTTACTATATATTTTTATTTTTGCCAATAAAAGTTTTCAATGTTCTGGATTGCTGCTAAAAAGAGAACAAACAGCAGTAGAAATAAGTTTATCTAATACATGGCAAACAAATGTTAGATATGAAAATAAATCTACGCCCTGTCAGTCCAACTAAATCCGGTAATTTGCACCATTTGATTAGATTTGCCTGCCACAATGTCTGTGTGTGTTTGGGGAGCGAAAGGATGTCTAAAGACCTGTGCAGCTGTTGAGTATCGAAAGCACAGTCTATTCCAAGTTCTGCGTCACATAAACCAAACTGAGTCTGTTCTGAGTCTCTCAGCATTTGTTAAGCATTCCTCCAGCAGCTTGTTCTAGGTTCGCAGTGGGAGGATTGGGGGGAAGAGTAAAGGGGCGCTCGCATTACGGCTGAGCGCAGCTGCAACTGTCAGGGAAAAAATGAATAAGAAAAATAGGGAAACAATTCGATTTTTATTGCGGAACGACATTTTTATTGCCAGAGCAGACAAAAGTCATAATAAGCAGGTTGAGGAGGGTGTGTGTGTGTGTGTGTGGGATGGGGGTGGTGCTGTAAGCAGACAGAATGGAGTAGAAAGTGGAGCTGTAAGACTGGGCCCAAATGCCCGCCCACTTAACATAAATTCTGTCTGGCTTCGCCATAGTCTGCTTGCATTAACTACAAAACCCAAAATCCTATACAATAATTTGCCCAAACGCACAAGACGATTATGGATTATATGAAGTACATGGCGGAGAAACAAAAAGAATCTCTCAGTAAAGACTGAATAAAATATGAATGATTTAAACTCATATATATTTTGGATTTGCATGCAATTTCTTAATTGACATTTTTAATAATTTAATTATTTGGGGGCAGTGACAAACTTTTACGTTTGGTATTTCAAGGATAGAAGATGTGCAATGAAAACGCGAATGATAAGAATAAGGAAGTGTGCGCAACAATGTGCGGAAGACCGATTGAATGCATTCATTCAGTCATGGCCATGTAAAAAACTTTAAAGCAGCCTCCACACACCCAACAACCATCTTTCCTTCTGCCCCTCCCCCACAGCATTCCATCTTTGTTGTTGGCTCATGCTCATGCTCATTCCAAGCATGAATTCTGTTTTTATCGGTAAATGAGCAGACACAATTAAGTGACGTAGGTTTTGAAGGGTTGAATGAACGATAGCCGCTGCTGAGGGTTGTTGTGGCACTGAGGAGCTGGACAGACGACTAACAACAGCGAGTCACAAAGCTTGCTTGCCCACTAAATGACTTGTTATGGAAAATGTGTGTAAGCTAAAAGCATTTGGTGCCGGGAGCCGGAGTTGGGGATAGGGTCAGGGTTTAGGTGAGG